TATTGGACCACTTCAGAATTCACTGGATGGGAGTCTGTGAAATATATGCATTAGTTTGTGTTAAATGTATTTTCTTGGAAGACTCCAAAGGATTATACATCTTTCAAAAAAGGTAAGCCCCATAACTATGGATAACTCAGGAATGTCGGTGCAGACCACACACTCCTTTACAGTTTGTATTCATTCCTGTAGTGCCTTTCAAGCATTGAGCCCAGTGCTCATTGTTCAATACTGCCTCTGATCTGCAGCCCAGACAGATATGTAATATAAAAAGTTAGTGAGTTGGTGAGCTTTGGTCTCAATGGATTGTTAATGACTTTAATAAGTACTTATATATATATATATATATATATATGAAATGATAAACTATGCCCTACAGCAGAGAAACTCAGGAAAATTTTGTTTATTGGTAAATTCTAGATACATTTATTATCCATAAACTGAATTTTATTATTTTTTAGTGAATGTCATTTATTGCCTGCATGCATACAAACTAATGAATTCTCAATATTTTCTTACTGATGTCATGAAGGATTCTTAGTTACTAAGATATCATTAATAAGGAAATAATAACATGTTTTGATATTGACAGGTGAAGAGTCACATATTACTCCCTAAGCTCGTTATGATCTGATACTACTATTTCAATTGGCCTTGTTCCAAGATGACCAATCATATATCTCCATAGGCCAATGGCTGCTCACAGTAGTAGTAGTAGTGGTAATAGTAGTAGTAGTAACCAAAGTTTATGTGCTAGGTGTTCAGAAAGAAGGTAAATACAAAGTCAGTAAATACAAAGTTTCTACATTCTATTTTTTTGGGTCCGGTCATGGGGCTTGAACTCTGGGCCTGGGTGCTGTCCCTCAGCTCAAGGCTAGTGCTCTACCACTTGAGCCACAGCGCCACTCCCGGCTTTTTTCTTTTTACCTATGTGGTGCTGAGGAATCGAACCCAGGGCCTCATGCATGCAAGGCAAGCGCTCTACCACTGAGCCACCTTCCTAGCCTCTCTACATTCTATTCTTTGAAGGAGAAAGATAAAAACGGCCTAGTGGCTGAGCCTAGTTGTTATACACCTGTAATCCTAGTAATCAGGCTTCAGAAGGAGGGCACTAGTTTGAGGCTAGCCACACTACATTACAAGACCCTGGCTCTAAACATCAACAACAACAAAAAAATACATTTCTCCTTTTGTTGACTCCATTTCCTTATTTAATGCATAGGCTATTTCAGGTTGGTGTCCAGAAATATTAGAGGAAATTACATCAAGAAATAGGATTTCTATATGAAAGAAAGGCAAGATTGCCAGTGTTAAAAAAAAAAAAAAGTACCCTTGACCTTGAAGGTTGATTGTGATAAAGGAAATGTGCTGGAGGGTAGTGAGGATAGCAGCCTGCCATGTGGGCAGTGAAAAGTCTCATTAGGTTAAATATAAAATTTGACTGTTTTAAAAGTGTCATACTTTGGGCTGGGAAGCTAGCTCAGTGGTAGGGTGCTTGCCTTGCATGCATGAAGCCCTGGGTTCGATTCCTAGCACCACATAAGCAGAAAAAGCCAGAAGTGGCTCAAGTGGTAGAGCACTAGCATTGAGCTAAAGAGCTGAGGGACAGTGCCCAGGCCTAGAGTTCAGGCCCCATGACTGGCAAAAAAAAAAAAAAGTGTTGATGAAGAACAGAAATACTTTTCTTTCAGTTTTGGAGGCTGAGAAGTCCAAGTTCAGAGTCTCTGCATCCAAAATGTTACCTGGTTGCATCATTCCTCCGAGAGGAGGACTACTGTGTCCTTACTGGCAAAATGTGTGACTGGGCGAGTGAACACTCACTCCAGCCTTGAGCTCCACTGATTCAGTAACCCTCCTAAAGGCTGCATCTCTTAGTACTGTTGTACTGGCAATTAAGTTTTTGATACTAGTTTTAAGGAGACCCATCATCAAAACCATAGCAACCTAGGCATGGAGGCACATATTTGTAATCTAAGCATTCAGGGGCAGAGGCAAAGGATCTTTCTTGATTTTGAAGTCAGCCTAGGCTAAATAGCAAGATCCTGTTCCTAAAGACAAAAGAAAAATGGTATTTGAGTTTGGTAAGACATTTTCATAGGTTTTTCTTGGTAATGATGATACTGGGCTCACTGTGCATGGTTCTAAGTGTTCTTCTACTAAGCTGTATCCCACTAAGCACTTGTATAGATTTCGTTTTTTTCTTTTTCCTTTTTCTTTTTGTCAGTCATGGGGCCTGAACTCTGGGCCTTAGGCGCTGTCCCTCAGCTCTTCTGCTCAAGGCTAGTGCTCTACCACTTGAGCCACAGCCCCACTTCTGGTTTTTTCTGCTTATGTGGTACTGAGGAATCGAACCCAGGACCTCATGCATACAAGGCAAGCACTCTACTACTGAGCCACCTTCTCAGCCCCTTCTATAGATTTTATGAAGTTCTAAAATCATAAAAAGGAAGTTGTCATGTTTTTTACTTTTTCAGTAGTTGGTGGCCTAATAGAGAAATACATGCTATTGGAGGTAGAAAAGGCTTGCAGGAGTGGGGATGTAGCTTAGTGCATAGAGCACTAGCCTAGCCTGTTCCAGGCCTGGGTTTAATCTCTGGCACCACAGATTATTGAGAGAAGAAAGAAAAGGATGATAGCTGAGAAATCAGATCTTACTGTATTTCCAGTATGGTGATAATGTGATGTCACTGTTAAGAACATAGAATAAATAAAATGTACCACAGGAATAAGGAAGAATGGTAGACTTGATACTTTAAAAATTAGCTCTTAAAAATTAACACTCGGGATAAAAGCCCACAAAGATTCTGTAGAAAGAACAAATGAGTGTCACTGGAATTGAATCTCCTACATAGAACCTTTAACCAACGCCATCCGTAATATTGTAGATTCAGGGACTCTCCAGGTTTTTCTTGGTTGTGGATATAGATGCCAGATTCCTGGGGAACCTTGTAGTTTTACATGATTTAGCTTTTCTACTTGAGAATAAACATTCAGTATTGCCTGATTCATATTGTATCATCTTCCAATAATGACTGGAGATGAGGACAAGGCAAATGACTGACGCTAAGAGGCTCTCATTTTGCTTTCATTGTTCTGAGATGGGACCTCAGAATAGCTTTGAGTATGTAGTTTATGTAGTTTGGTTAGAGGACTAATGATGGTGGCAGATGCTTTTTGGCTTAGAAACTTCCCTGGCTTTAGTATTCACAAGGACAGGAGGCTGCTTTATCATAATGAAGTGAGAGATGGAAGTAATGGATGGGGGAAAGGATTCTGGAAGGAACGTCAGGCTGGTGATACATACCTGTAATCTTAGTACTCAAGCTGAGGCAGGAGGATCAAGAATTCAAAGACAGCCAGGCCTTGGTGGCTCACAACCATTGTCATAGCTACTAAAGAGGCTGAGGGGCTGGGAAGGTGGCTCAGTGGTAGAGCACTTGCCTTGCATGCCTGAGGCCCTGGGTTTGATTCCTCAGCACCACATAAGCAAAAAGAAAAAAGCTGGAAGTGGCGCTGTGGCTCAAGTGGTAGAGCGCTAGCCTTAAGCTGAAGAGCTGAGGGATAGCGCCCAGGCCCAGAGTTCAGGCCCCACCACCAGACCAAATAAATAAATAAATAAATAATAAAGAGGCTGAGATTTGAGGGTTGAAGTTTGAAGCAAGCCCTTGCAGGAAAGTCCCTGAGACTTATCTCCAATAAACCACCAACGGGGGAGAAGAAAGCTAGTAGTGGACATGTGGTTCCCGTGGTAGAGTACTTACTAGTCTTAAGTGAAAAAGTGAAGGGACAGCATTCTGGCCCTAAGTTCAAGCTAACACATACATGAAGGCCGTCTGGGAACTGGTAGTTTACACCTGTAATGCTAGTTACTCAGCTGAGATCAGAGGATCCCACTTTAAGGCAAACTTGGAGAAAAGTCTATGAAACCTCAACCAGCAAAAAGCCAGAAATGGGGCTGGGAATGTGGCTTAGTGGTAGTGTTTGAAGCCCTGGGCTGGATTCCTCAGTACTATATACACAGAAAAAGCTGTAAGTGCTAAGGTAATGTGCTAGTCTTGAGCAAAAGAAACTCAGGGACAGTGTCCACACCCTAAGTTCAAGCACCAGACTGGCAAAAAAAAAAAAAAACAGAAATGGAATTGTGGCTCAAGCCCCAGCGCGCACTCCCTCACCCCCAATACACACAGAGCCTGTGCTATGTATGTCAAATGCTAGATAAACCTTGACATATGTTAGATAAAACTTGTCTGTTATATCAGCCACTCAGAACCTTCATCCCTATTTCATAGGAAGGTTATAGATGCAGGCTTTTCTAAGGTTACCCTGTAACCCAAAAATAGGGCTATATTTTCTCTTCCTTTTTTTTTTTTTTTTTTTTTTTGCCAGTCCTGGGGACTGAACTCAGGTCCTGGGCACTGTCCCTGCGTTTCTTTTGCTCAAAGCTAGCACTCTACCACTTGGGCCACAGCGTCACTTCCGACTCTTTCTGTGTATGTGGTGCTGAGGAATCAAACCCAGGGCTTCATGCATGCTCAGCAAGCGCTCTACCACGAAGCCTCATTCCCAGGGCTCTCTTCCCTTTCTTGAAACAGTCCCACCACGTAGCCTAGGTTGGACTCAAACCCACATCCTTCTTCCTCAGCCTTCGGAATGCTGGGATTACCAGCGTGCATCACCACACGTGGTTCCAATGCAGTATCTTTGTGAGACTTTATTAGGCCTTAACAACCGGGGAGCTTAGACGTGGAAACTTTAAAACTTGGGGAATTTCAGTAAGGCAATGAAATGAAGGCTAAAGATTTCTCTTTGTAGATTGAAGGATTTTAACTCACGGTGAAGCTGCATCCGGGAGAGTCAGAGCAAAACAAAAAGTCTGCTCCGCTGTCTCAACAAAGGAGCCCAGAGCCCAGACCAGGCCCCGAGTGATGACGCCACGCGCCGGTCCGGAACTGACGTCACTCCAGCACCCGCCGCTTCCGGTCCGCGTGAGTGCGCGCCTCGCGCCGGGGGCGGCCTGCGCTGGAGCCTGGTGTGCGTGCTGTGTGTGGTGCTCTTGTCCGCAAGTTCCCCTCCCTGTTCCAGGACCATGGCCACCGACTCGTGGGCCCTAGCGGTGGACGAGCAAGAGGCGGCTGTCAAGTCGGTCAGTGGCTTCTGGAGGGGAAGCTGTCTCAGGGAGCGGGCGGACACGGTGGGAGCTTGGGGAGCCCGCGAGTTGCCCAGGCCGGCGCCCGGGAGGCCCTCGTGGGGTGCCGCGGGCCCTCACTGGGTCAGAACCTGCTCCTTCGGCGAAAGAGACAAGACCAAGCTTTGTATCTTCATCTGGGCCAAAGACCGTCCTGCGGCAAATCTGTCCGCGCTGTGTAGGCTTTGTTTCCTCTATTGCACCTGTTACTCCGTGACGGTTGTAAGGAAGATAAGTTTAGATTCTTTTCATTAATGGGTGACATTTCTTTTGAGTGTTATGGTGCTGCTTTGTATCTAACAGGTTTGTTTTTTTTAATTTTTGTTGTTTATTTCGGTCGTGGGCCTTGAACTCGGGGCCTTAGCTCCTCTCAAGGCTATAGAGCTCTACCTCTTCTAGCCACAGCGCCACTCCCGGTTTTCTGGTGTTTAGTTGGAGATTCGATTCTCACAGACTTTCCCGCCCCGCCTAGCTTTGAATCACGATCCTCTGATCTCATTCTGAATAGCGAGGATTACAGGCGTGAGCCACTAGCACCCGGCTTTCTAACAGTTCTTAAATCTACGTTTAAGGAGGTTGGAAATTTGTAGCTCTGCAGAATAAAGATTCCGTTTTAACGTTTCAATCATCTGCAGATGTTAAGAGGGAGGTACTTACAAGTTGTTTCATTGATGTATCAAGTGATATTAATGTCATATATCGGTTGAAAGACTATTCAACCAAAAGGTAATTGCAGCATAAATTGGCTTTTTAGTGTGTGCCGGTACCCAGGATTAAACTTGTCCTGGGTTTCTGAGTCTTTGGCTCTAACTTGATGGCTTGCACTTCAGCCACACTTCTAATTCTGGCATTTTGCTGGTTAATTGGCAATACGAGTCTTTCAAACTTCTTTGAGGCTCACCTTGAACTGCCATCCTCCAGGAATCAGACTCCTGAGTAGCTGAGATTACAGGCATGAGCCACCTGCATCCAACCAACTGTGGCTTTTAAAAGACCTGCAGTTTAGGTTTGTTTGGTGATCATAGTCTGTTTTAAAGTTGCAAATCATATATAACTTTTCAGTGCTGAAATTACATTTCTTGGCATATTCAGTAATGTCAGTACTAGGGAGCTAAGGCAGGAGAATTCCAAGTTGTAGGCCAACCTGGCTTCTTGTGGAGACCTTGTATCCAAAAAAAAAAAAAAAGTTACATTTCTTCTCCAGTCATGGTTATTGCTAGTTTTTCAATAGCTATTTGAAATGGAGTAAGCCTAGTAAAGTGTAGGTAGCAACACTTTGCAGTTTTGTTAGGAAGGCATCCCAAAGGAAGTGGTAGGATAATATGATAAATGAGCAATTAGTAGCAACACATTTATGAACAGCAAATCAGGTACTTTTTTTTTTTTTGTGAGCTGGATATTAAGAGAACAAGTCATTTTTAAAGGCAGAGCTGGAGGTTAAAAGTGGAGAGAAGGTACCAAAATGCTGGACTTGTTGCTGGGTGCTGGTGGCTCACACCTGTCATACTAGCTACTCAGTAGGCTGAGATCTAAGGGTCCTGGTTCAGCACCCAGGCAAAAAAGTCCATGAGACTCTTATTTCCAGTTAACCAGCAAAAAGCTAGAAGTGCAGGTGTGACTCAAGTGGTAGAGTGGTAAAAGTTTCTCCTCCCCCCCTCTTTTGGTGCCAGTCCTAGGGCTTTAGCAGGGGGTTTGAGTGCTGTCGCTTAGCTTTTTTGTTCAAGGGTAGCACCCTACCATGTAAGCCATGCTATATTTTGGCTTTTTTGGTGGTTAATTGGAGATAAGAATTTCTTGCCCAGGCTGGCTTCAAACCGTAATTCCCAGATCTTAGCTTCTTGAGTATTGATGATTATGGGTTTGAGCCACGACTCAGATAAAACTTTATTTTTATTCCTATTCAGATGAACAATTTGCAGATCAAGGAAGAGAAAGTCAAAGCAGACACTAATGGTGAGTCATTAAACTAGTAACTGCAGGCTGGGACTAGTTTGCTTTCAATTTGTTCTCACAGCTGCAGGGAGCCAAGGAGCTTTCCTCTAGTATAACGTGGCAAGCAGCAGATCCCTAAATTAGGATTCATTCTTTTATTATTATTTTGTTGGTGTACAAAGGAGTTGCCATTAAACAAAGCAGTTTATGGATACAATCACCTTGAACAATATCACCTCTTTCCTCATTCACTCTATCCCTCCCAACCACATTCCTTCCCGTAGAGGTTCATTCTTGAAGAGGGGCTTTAAGGATTATCATTAGATTGTTCCACTTCTGTTTACTTGATATTTATTAGCTTAAAAAAAAAACTGGGCTCAAAAATGAGTAAGGGCTGGGAAGGTGGCTTAGTGGTAGAGCACTTGCCTTGCATGCATGAGGCCCTGGGTTCGATTCCTCAGCACCACATAAGCAAAAAGAAAAAAGCCAGAAGTGGCACTGTGGCTCAAGTGGTAGAGCACTAGCCTTGAGCTGAAGAGCTGAGGGACAGCACCCAGACCCAGAGTTTAGGCCGGACCCAAAAAAAAAAAAAAAGGAAAACATCTTTCCCATGCTGCTCTAATGATTACCCTATACCATGCCCATTTATGTTCATATGTTGTATCTACCACCAACAAACTGCCACAAAACTGGGTGGTATGAACCATGGCTGCTTGGACTTTTGGGAGGCCAAATGACCAAGATAGAGGTATTGGCTTCTGAGGGCCTTGAGGAAGACTCTCCTTAGTGTCTCCCCTGACTTCCCAGTGGTTTATTGGCAGTCTTTGGTGTTCTTGAATTGTATCCTGTTAACCCAATCTCTGATATTGGCCTTCAGAAAATGTCTCACATGGCATTTTCACAAATATCTCCTCACCTTCCCCCTTCCCCTTTTTTTGGAGAGTGGGGAGGAGTGGGTTGGACTCAGAGCCTCAAACATGTTAGATAAGTTCTTTGCCACTGAACTATATCTCCAGCACTAACTTCCCCTTTTTATAAGGATTCAGTCTTGTTGGAATAGAGCACATGCTAATGTTTCAGATAAGGTCACATTCTGATGTATTGGAGATGAAGGTCTACACATACAAATTTTAGGAGGGACACAGTTCAACTCAACACTACCCCATTATATCAGTAACACACTTTTAATTTTTAATATTCTTTAAGTGTTTCTTTATGCAAAGCATATACAAATATAGAATCTCGTTATTTCTACCTCTCTCCCACATTCTCTCTTCTTCCTACCGAAGAGTGGCATGAATAGTATGACATAGTGTACTTGCTTTTCTCACTTAACCATAATCTTTCTCAAACTTTTCATATTAGTATGTACCATTCCTTCATTTTTGTTGTAACTGCATAGCATTGTACTATGTTGATATGGTGTAATTTGATCACTCAGCTATTAATAGATTCTTTTGCAATTATATACAGTGCTTCTTGGCTCACCCCTATAATCCTAACTACTCAGGAGACTGAGATTTGAGGATCCAGGTTCAAAGCCACCCTGGGTAGGAAAGTTTGTGAGACTCTTCAAATAAGTACTAGAAAACCAGAAGTAGGACTGTGACTCAAAGTGGTAGAGCTCTAGCCTTGAGCAAAAATGGTCAGGGACAGTGCTCAGGCCCTGAGTTCAAGCCTCACAATGGACAAAAATAAAAAATAAATTTAAATGTTTTCACATATGTACCATGCGTACAATAAATTCTCCAAAAACAGATTTGGTAGGTCATGGCTAAAATTTTTTTACTTAAATACTTTCTAGAAATAAAATCCATGAAAGAAATGCCAAATATTTACATTTGGGTCACTTGAAAAAGTTCTAGTGTTTACATTGTCCCATCTTTTAAGTTGTTTTAATAGTTGCCTTTCTGAAAGTATTTACCTTTCTGATGACAACTACTTTCTTGTGTAGGTGTTATCAAAACCAGCACTCCTGCAGAGAAGACAGATGAAGAGGAGAAAGGTAGTACTCTTTGAAACCCTATGGCAAGAGACAGTGTTACCCAGGATTTATCTTCCTAGCTCCAGAGGCACGAGATCGGGAAGTTGAGGGGAACTCAGCAAAGCAGGTTGAGAAGGAGCAGTGAAGTAGAATAAGAATTGAGTGTGTAGTCTTCCGGACACTAGAGGAAGTGTCAAAAGTAGGGTGTAGCCCTGCGTAGGAGGCTCACACATGTAATCCTAGCTACTCAGGAGGCTGAGATCTGAGGCTGGGGAGTCAAAAGTTCTAAAACTCTTTGTCTTCAATAATAAACTACCCATGTGAAGTGGCGCTGTAGCTCAAGTGGTAGAGCGCTCGCCTTGAGTTGAAGAGCTGAGGGACAACGCCAGGCCCAGAGTTCAAGCCCAACGACCGACAAAAAAAAAAAAAATAATAATAATAATAAACTACCCAGAATAGGCTGGAAGTGGTTCTTTGGCTCAAGTGGTAGAGCTCTTGTCTTGAGCAGAAGGAGCTTAGGGACAGCACTAAGGCCCCTGAATTCATGCTTCAGGACCAGGAAAAAAAAAAAAAGTGAAGTTAGTTAAGGCAGTATAGTACATGAGGCTCTTTTTTTTTTTTTTCCCCTTTTTGGTTGGTCGTGGAGCCTGAACTCTGGGCCTGGGTGCTGTCCCTACGCTCTTCAGCCTGAGGCTAACATATTACCACTTGAGCCAGTGTGCCACTTCCAGACTTTTCTGCTTATGTGGTGCTGAGAAATCGAACCCAGGGCCTCATGCATGCAAGGCAAGCAGTCTACCACTGAGCCACCTTCTGAGCCCTACATGAGACTCTTATCTCCAGTTAAGTACCACAAAGGCAAAAGTAAAGCTGTGGCTCAAATGGTAATGTGCTAGCCTTGAGCAGGAAAGCTCAGAGACAGTGCCCAGGCCCTCAGTTCAAACCTTAAGACTGGCATAAAGAAGAAAAAAGTAATCAAAATAGATTGAGTTGATGATATGGACATAACTTATTGGTGAGCTTGATTAGGGCTATTGGTGAGGGCTATTGAAGTGGGAAGGTTAAAACACAAAAAAAAACAAAAAACATTGAACAGAGAAAGGAAGGTGAGGAAGTGAGATGAGATTAGCCAGCTCTTTTAGCAATGTTTCAGAAAGGGGAATAGTGAAATAGGATAGTAGCCGGATGGGAATGTAGGATAAAGGAGGAAGGTTTACAAAGGTAAAAGTATATATATATACCACTTCACATGCTGGTGAGATTGGCTGAAAAGTCTGTGGGACTCCATCTCCAACATAACCAACGAAAAGCCAGGCTCTAGACATGTCTCAAAGAGTAGAGTGCCAGCCAAGCAGAGCAAGTAAGAGGCCCTAAGTTGAAACTCTGATACTGGCAAAAATAAAATACTATTAAAAAGAAAAAAACTTGAAATGAAGAAAAAGTATAAATGGAGGTTTGGGAAACAGAATGAATGAGTGGATTATAAAACAGGAAGTCTTACTGAGCAGCTCAGCCCATGTGAGTTAAAGAGAGATCTATTAGTGTTCCCTCCAGCTATGCTTGACTGCCCAGGTGCTGGTGCAGAGATGAAGAAGAAGCACTTTCATAAGAGGCGGGATTGCCCAGTGAGTATGAAAGAAGTCTACTGTTTTCTCCCTGACAGAGGACAGAGCTGCACAGTCTTTACTCAATAAGCTGATCAGAAGCAACCTTGTGGATAACACAAACCAAGTGGAAGTCCTGCAACGGGATCCCAACTCCCCACTCTACTCAGTGAAGTCTTTTGAAGAGCTTCGCCTGTGAGTATTCATTGCTTTGAAAGGCTCTTTCTTCCCATTGTCCCTCTCCTATAAAACAGCATCTAAGAAGTATTATAGGAATTTTACTTTTGTTTTAAAATTTTGTTTACTTCTTTGAGTAGATAATAAACCACATGATTCAAAAGTGAAAAAGTATGCACAAGTTCTCAGTGATCAGCTCCCACTTTTTTGGCTATCCTGTTCTCTGGTTGGTAGAGGTGTATTTATTTTAGTTCTGGTCCTATGGCTTGAATTCAAGGCCTGTATGCTGCCCCTGAGCTTTAGCTCAAGGCTGGTTCTCTACTACTTCTGGCTTTTTTGAGTGGTTAGTTGGAGATAAAAGCCTCACAGACTTTCCTGCCAGGACTGATTTTGGAATGCAATCCTCAGATCTCAGGCCTTCTGGGTTGCTAGAAATATAGACATTAGCCACTAGCACCTATCTAGATATTTCTTTTGTTATTTATTTTGTGCTATAAATTAATAAGTACTATTTCTGTATCCAGGAAAAACTTGTTACTCAAGGCCAACCAGATTTGTGGATCTGCTGAAAGAACTAATTTCTTTTTCTCTCTTCTTTTTTTTTTTTTTTTTTTTTGGGTCCGGTCCTAGGGCCTGAACTCTGGGCCTGGGCGCTGTCCTTCAGCTCAAGGCTAGCACTCTACCACTTGAGCCACAGCGCCACTTCCGGCTTTTTTCTTATGTGGTGCTGAGGAATCGAACCCAGGGCCTCGAGCATGCAAAGCAAGTGCTCTACCACTGAGCCTCCTTCCCAGCCCTTCTTTTTTCTTTTTTGCCAGTCAAGGGGCTTGAACTCAGAGCGTGGGCACTGTCCCTGAGCTTTTTTTTTTTTTTTTTGTTGGTTGTGGGGCCTGAGCTCTGGGCGCTGTCCCTGAACTCTTCAGCTCAAGGCTAGTGCTCTACCACTTGAGCCACAGCGCCACTTCTGGCTTTTTCAGCTTATGTGGTGCTGAGGAATCAATCCAAGGGCCTCATGCGTGCAAGGCAAGCACTCTACCCCTGAGCCACCTTCCCAGCCCCCCTGAGTTTCTTTTGCTCAAGGCTAGCACTCTCCCTTGAGCCACAGTGCCACTTTTGGCTTTTTCTGTGTGTGTGGTACTGAGGAATCAAACCTAGGGCTTCATACTTGCTAGTCAAGCACTCTACCACTAAGCCACCTTCCCAGTCCCAAAAGAACAAAGTTCTTTAGGAAAGGAAAGTATTCTGTATTCTATGAATCATATAATCTAGTTGCAGATTAAGATTTAAGAGGGAAAGATGATAGTTTGGCTTGAGTTTAGATGTCATTTTTTTATTAGCTTATGTTAGTGTACGAGAGAGGTTTCACTGTGACATTTCCCATGTGTACAATGTATCAACCATACCCTTTCATTACTATCCCTTATTCTACTTGTCACTTAAAATAGTTCAACAGGTTTATTCTATTTTCATACATGCAAGCACACTACTTTCACCAAATTCATCCTCTTTTACCCCACTTTGTTACCTCTTCCCCTTCTTAGTACCACCCTTAGTCTTTTTTAAGGCATTGATAAATAGCTGTTTTTGTTTGTTTTTTTGAGCTGGTCCTGAGCTTGAACTTGGAGGGCAGGGGACTGTCCTGAGCTTTTTTTGCTCAAGACTAGTACTCTACCACTTTTGAATTTTTTATTTTATTTTTTGAAGTTTATTGGAGATAAGAAGCTCATAGACTTTTCTTACCTGGGCTGGCTTTGAACCATGATCTTCAGATCTCCAGTCTCCAAGTAGCTAAGATTATAAGTTTGAGCCACTGGTACCTGGTGATAGTTTGATTGAGGTAGAAACCATCATTTCTTGCAAGATACAGAGAAAGATAAGATTATAGGCCCCTTAAACAACCACAACTTGAGAAACTCACCTAGTCTATACCTTCCTCCTAGGAAGCCACAGCTTCTCCAAGGCGTTTATGCCATGGGCTTCAATCGACCATCTAAGATACAAGAGAATGCACTACCCATGATGCTTGCTGAACCGTAAGTACTGATCTAAGTGTGTACCTCTTCCTAAGCTGGCTTAACTAAAAATCTTCCACTAATAGTTATTACTGTTTTCTGAGTATGAAAATGAGCCGTAGCTGGGCGCCAGTGGCTCACACCTGTAATCTTAGCTACTCAGGAGGCTGAGATCTAAGAATCACGGTTCAGAGCCAGCCTGGGCAGGAAAGTCTGTGAGACTCTTATCTCCAATAAACCACTAGAAAACCAGAAATGACGCTGTGGTTCAAGTGGTAGAGCACTTGCCTTGAGCTGAAGAGCACAGAGTCAGCATCCAGGCCCAGAGTTCAAGCCCCATGACCGACCAAAAAAAAAAAAGAAAGAAAATGAGCCATTTGGGGGAAATACGTTTCTTCAAGAAAATAGCTTAGACAAGTGTAGAGAGGGTCACCTGAATTTGGACATGGCTCCCATCTTCCTCACTTAACAGTTAATATTAACTGATAAATTAATATTTCATGCAGTTTTTAAAGTTTGACTTTTTAATTTTATTTTTTTGGGAGGGGGTTGGTCATGGGGCCTGAACTCTGGGCCTGGGCGCTGTCCCTCAGCTCTTCAGCTCAAGGCTAGCGCTCTACCCACTTGAGCCACAGCGCCACTTCCAGCTTTTTTCTTTTTGCTTATGTGGTACTGGGGAATCGAACCCAGGGCCTCAGGCATGCAAGGCAAGCACTCTACCACTGAGCCACCTTCCCTGCCCCTTTAGTTTTAATTTTAATTGTAATTTTTATTTTATTTATTTATTTTTTTGTGCCAGTCCTGGAGCTTGAACTCAGGGCCTGGCACTGTCCCTGAGTTGCTTTTTGCTCAAGGCTAGCAATCTACCACTTGAGCTGCAGCACCATTTCTGGCTTTTTCTGCTTATGTGGTACTGAAGAATCAAACCCAGAGCTTTATGCATGCTAGGCAGGCACTCTTATCACTAAGCCACATTCCCAGCCAGATTTTGAAAGTTTTAAGTTCTACCAAAAAAGTATAAATAGACGGGCATCGGTGATTCGTGCCTGTAATCCTAGCTACTCAGGAGGCTGAGATCTCAGGATCTTGGTTCAAAGCCAGCCTGGGCAGGGAAGTTCGTGAGACTCTTTATCTCCAATAAACCTATAGAAAACCAGAAATGGTGCTGGAGCCTGCCGGCAACAAAAGGGAATCCTGAATTAGGGGGCGAGGATGTGGAAAAATAAAGACATAAGACAAAGGATGGGGTCGGGAGGTCTGCAGCTCAAGACTGCAGCCCCGTTTATTTTTAACTTTCCCTAATGTATACTATTAGAAGTCAAGAGGTAACATAAGATTACAATAGTCCAGAAGAACAAGGAAAATTTCAGTAAAAACAGAGTGCAGTAAAAACAAGACAACTGGTAAAAAGTAAAACTCTGTAGATATAGTAAAGCAATCCCGGGCACCTGGTGTTTTTTAAGTAAGCCAGTTCCTTGTACGTGCCTTTAAGTGAGCACCGGGGTCAAGATGACCTTTAAACTTTACTGTTGGCTCCCAACAAAATGGCACTGTGGCTCAGGCGGTAGAGTGCTCTTCTTGATCTGAAGAGCACAGGGACAGCACCCAAGCCCAGAGTTCAAGCCCCACGACTGACAGAAAATAAAGGTATAAAGAATAACACTAAGAGCATCTTTGTAGGTTTATCCTGCCTAAAAATAAAGCACGAATCCAGTTGAGAGTGAGAACCCTACGCGTCCTTCCTTTACTCCCTCTGATCCCCTGTGAAGCTTTCTCTACCTTGAGATGGGTGTCATCCCCGCAGGTGTCTTTACACTGTATATGTGTTCTTAAGATTCTGAAGGGTAGCTTACATATTTTAAATCTTAGAGAATTGGTGTCATACTTTGGCAGTACTGGAATTTGAACTCAAGGCCTTGTACTTGTCAGGCAGGTACCACTTGAGCAGCATCCCTAGAAGTTAGATTCTAATAAGGTCTTGTTCTTAGTCCACTTAAGTCTGGACCACTGTTAAATCCTCCTATTTAACACTTCCCACATATCTGGGCTAGCAGGTAGATAGATACCAATGTGCTCAACTCTTTTTTATTTTTTATTTTTTTGTGCCAGTTGTGGGGCTTGAAGTTAGAGTCTGGCAGTGTCCTTGAGTTTTTGTTTTTGTTTTTGTTTTTTTCTCAAGGCTAGCACTCTACCATTTGAGCCATAGCTCTACTTCTGGATTTTTTAGTGGTTAGTTGAAGATGAGCGTCTCATTGACTTTCCTGCTTGTGCTGGCTTTAAACTGCAATCCTCAGATTCTCAACCTCCTGGGTAGCTAAGATTACAGGCATGAGCCACCAATGCCTGACTTATTTTTTTTTTTTTTTTTTGGTCAGTCGTGGGACTTGAATTCTGGGCCTGGGCACTGTTGTTCAGCTCTTTAGCTCAAGGCGAGTGTTCTACTTCTTGAGCCATAGCACCACTTGTGGTTTTCTGGTAGTTTATTGGAGATAAGAATCTGGGCTAGCTTTGAACCATGCTCCTTAGATCTCAGCCTCCTAAGTAGCTAGGATTACAGTTGTTGAGCCACCAATGCCTGGCTGCCTGGCATTTTTTATTTTGTTTTTTTTTTAAAGCAGTATCGGGCTTTGAACTCTCCCATTTGCTTGACTTGCTTACTCTGCTGACCTTCTACTACTTGAGCCATACTTCCAACTCTTTCTTTTAATGACCAAGAGAGCCACCTATTCTCATGATTCTGAGCCACATGAAATAAAATGTGAAAGTTCCCTCAAAAACCTCCATATGAGCTGGGCGCCAGTGGTTCACGCCTGTAATCCTAGCTACTCAAGAGGCTAGATTTGAGGATTGTGATTCAAAGCCAGCCTGGACAGGCAAGTCCATGAGACTCTTACCTCCAATTAACCATCAGAAAATCAGAAATGGAGCTATGGCTTAAGTAGTAGAGTGCTCACATTGACTCAAATGCTCAGGAACAGCATTCAGGTCTGGAGTTCAAGCCTCACGACTGACCAAAAAAAAGAAAAAACCCTCTATCTGAGTTGGTTTATTAAATTGTCCATAAAGATGGGAAAGGGGAACATGCAAAAGGAGCAGAATCATCGAGATATGTTATGGATTGGTAGGAAAGGTCATCTGAGACTGCCTGATCAAGCTCTTACTCTGCACTCTTTATTTCCTTGAGATCCTTGGAGTGCAAAATTAGAGCACGCTAGCTGTCCTAGAGTCTGATATGAAGGTTTTTGATGTGAATCCATCTAAAAAAAAATCATTATTTCCCTTAAGATTTATGCTGTTTTTAACTAGCATACAAAATGTGTAGTTAGGGAACTAGCTCAGTGGCAGAACACTTGCCCAGCAAGTGTAAAGTCCAGAGTGAGCCCTAGCACCACAATTTCTTTTTAAAAAGAAATATGTAAAATTTGTGCTTACTAGAGAAAACCTAGATAATGTAGACACACATAAAGGGAGAAATATTCTTTCCATTCAGGAAAAAATACTTTGATACTTTATTATGTTAAATTAATATTAACATAGTTCCATTCTTCATTGTTCTAGCCCACAGAATCTAATTGCCCAGTCTCAGTCTGGCACCGGAAAAACAGCTGCCTTTGTCCTGGCCATGCTCAGTAGAGTGGAACCAGCAGACAGATACCCTCAGGTAAGAGTTTAGAAGTCTGTCTTGGCCTGCTTGCCCTAGGAAGCCTGCACCACCTGGTCGGGGACTAGTGAGAGATCTGACCATGGCTCAGGCAAAGTAGGCCCTGACCAGGTAAAATTTATTTGGAAACAGCAGCCTTCAACAGTGGCTTCCAAAGACCCTCCACCAAGCCGGGATTCCCACCAAGTCCATGCTTCCCACCAAGACAGGATTTAACCTGGCCCAGAAACATGTGGTTCTCTGTAGACTTCAAGTGATAGTAACATCAACATATTTGGTCACATTTCTCTTCCTTTATGATTTCTAGTTTATTGTGATTTGTTTGTTTGTTTCTGAGACTAGAGTTCCAGCTTGGTCTCTAGTGCTTGCCCATTGGCTGGCTCTCTACCACTTGAGCCATGCCTCTAACCCCTCATCTTTTGTGATTTCTCTGTCAGTGTCTGTGTCTCTCCCCAACATATGAGCTGGCACTTCAAACAGGAAAAGTGATTGAGCAAATGGGAAAATTTCATCCAGAACTAAAGCTTGCCTATGCTGTCCGTGGCAATAAATGTGAGTTAAAAGAGATGGAATCTAAGCTTGTGCAAGGGGCAATGTGCCTTGGGTATTAGGGTTTGAAGATGTAATGATCATATTGAACTTTTTAGGCCCAGCTGCACTGCTTTTAGCACATCTGTTTCAATACTTGCTAATGTGCTAACAGTGCCACTTGGTCTTTTCTCTCTGCACACATCGCCTTCATCTTGGGGATCAAACTCAAAACCTTTCACTTGATAGGCAAGTTATCCCCACTTCACTGTAACACCAGTTGCTTAAATACTCTTGGTTTTATACATAAACTTAACAAATTTACAGAAGTTAGTTGGCAGGTAGTCCTTGTGGGTTCTTATTAACTTGTTCTACCAGTCCTGAGAGGATAGGCAGAGCTTCCCAGAGCTGGCTTTGCCTTTGAAATACCCACAGAAAACATCTCGTCTCTACAGTGGAAAGAGGTCAGAAGATCAGTGAGCAGATTGTCATTGGCACTCCGGGGACTGTCCTGGACTGGTGCTCCAAGCTCAAGTTCATTGACCCCAAGAAGATCAAGGTGTTTGTTCTGGACGAGGCAGACGTGATGATAGCTACTCAGGGCCACCAGGACCAAAGCATCCGCATCCAGAGGTAGGAAGAACTGGGGCCAGGAGGAACTTGAAACTCCTCCTCCAACTTGTGTTGGGTTCTAGATTCTGGTACTTACTGCAGCATGTGTTCAGTGGGCCATTTCCTCATCAGCATTTATAACACTCCCAGCCTGGGTTGAGAAGGGAGACCCAAGCCCTAACCCAGCCCAGTGCCAACCCTGGCTGTGTTCTTCCTCCCCCTTGCTAAGATGGGTCTGCCTCCAGCCCTTCATGCCTGTGAGGGCTGTAGTCTGTGCAGGCCTTTGATGGGAGGCTGGGTTTCTGTTCCTTCTGGTGAAGTCCTGGGTCATCCAAAGTGCCTGGAGGACCTGGGTGCTGGTGGCTCACACCTGTAATCCTAGCTGCTCAGGGGACTGAGATGTGAGGATCACGCTTCAAAGGCAGCCTGGGCAGGAACGTCCATGGGACTCTTCTGCAATTAACCACCCAAGAGCTGGAAGTGGCACTGTGGTTCAAAGTGATAGAGCACTAGCCTTGAGAAAAGAGCTCAAGGACAGCTCCTAGGCCCTGAGTTCAAGGCCCATCACTGACCAAAAAAGATGCCTGAATGTCACCTTGCAGGATGCTGCCCAAGAACTGCCAGATGCTGCTTTTCTCTGCCACCTTTGAAGACTCAGTGTGGCAGTTTGCCCAGAAAGTGGTCCCAGACCCCAATGTTATCAAACTGAAGCGCGAGGAGGAGACGTTGGACACCATCAAGCAGTATTACGTCCTGTGCAATAACAGAGATGAGAAGTTCCAGGCCTTGTGCAACCTGTATGGGGCCATCACCATCGCTCAAGCCATGATCTTCTGCCACGTGAGTAGAGCTGCAGGCCTGCAGGGGCTGCCCCACCCCCTCCTCAGCCTCTCCCTTGTCCAGCTGCACCTGACCGGATTCATGTGTGGACAAGAAAGGAAGGGTTTTGTGAGGATGGAGTAGACTGTGTCTTTATTTTAATCTAATTAGAGTTAGCATGCATTGTAGCATGAGAGAGTGCCACTGTAACTATTCCATCCATGTGTATAATGCAGCTTGAACCAGTTCTTTTTCCTGTGCACGTGTGTGCATGTGCGTGTGTGCTGGTACTGGAGCTTGAATTTAGGGCCTCAATCACTCAGGCTGATTGTTCATTGCTGGTGCTCTACCGCTTAAGTCATGCTTGTTCAGCAATTTGTTCATGAATTGGAGATGGAATCAGACTTTTCTGTCCAGGTCAGTTTCAAACTACAGTTCTGTAGATCTCAGCCTCCTGAGTAGCTGGGGTAACAGGCATTAGCCACAGTGTGTAGTTCCTTCCTTCCCTTTCATGTTTCATTTTATAGATACAATAGTATATGAAAATATATATGATACAGTAAAATAAATAGTCTATATTAAATAGCCTTTTTTTGTTGGTTTTGTCGTCCTGGGGCCTGAAGTCTGGCCTGGGTGCTGTCCCTCAGCTCTCCAGCTCAAGGCTAAAGCTCTACCGCTTGGTCACAGCACCACTTCCGGCTTATGTGGTGGTGAGGAATCAAACCCAGGGCCTCATGCATGCAAGGCAAGCACTCTACCACGGAGCCACCTTTCCTGCCCTAGATAGTCTTTTAATCTTCACACTTGAGTAAATGTTTGTAAAATTATTACCCAGGTGCTGCTGATGTATCAGACACATCAGGTTGGCCACATTTCCAGTAGAATCTGCCAAGTCAGATACAGTCCTTTATAAAGGTACCATCATTTCTTAATTGTTTTTTCCATCCAGACCCGCAAAACTGCTAGTTGGCTGGCAGCAGAGCTCTCCAAAGAAGGGCACCAGGTGGCTCTGCTGAGTGGTGAGATGATGGTGGAGCAGAGGGCTGCCGTGATTGAGCGCTTCCGCGAAGGCAAGGAGAAAGTTCTGGTGACCACCAACGTGTGTGCCCGGGGTGAGCAGTGATGTCCTGGTGTGCCCGACCCAGGGAGGTGGTGAGGTTGGTGCGACATTCCTTTCTAGAAGAGACTGAGAGAAACCAACAAAGACTCCAGGAGTGCCGCCCTGGCGCAAGTGGGCGTCCAGGCTCTGAGTGCTTGGGAGCAGTGCTCATCCTGGGCAGTGCCGGTATTTAGCTGTGTGTCCACGTGCATGTGTGCAGCACACATGCTTCACATTCCACAGGGGTCTTTGTAACACTGCTGTAAAGTTCTGTCCTCCCTTCATTCTGTCCAGGGACTGAATGCCCCTTCTCTAGAGGTGGCCTGGCCCAGCTCCTTCCTCCTTTTGAAGTGGTTGTGTGGACTGAGGCCTGTGTCTCTGTCTTCCCCACCCCCCTAACATGCAGGGATTGATGTTGAACAAGTGTCTGTTGTCATCAACTTCGATCTTCCTGTGGACAAGGATGGGAACCCCGACAATGAGACTTACCTGCACCGGATTGGGCGCACCGGCCGCTTTGGCAAAAGAGGCCTGGCCGTGAACATGGTCGACAGCAAGCACAGCATGAACATCCTGAACAAAATCCAGGAGCATTTTAGTGAGTCCCTGGAGGGTGCTGTGCCTGGTGCCCTTTTCAGTGGGCTGGGATGGGAGTGGGGAAAGGGGAGGTTTCCCCATGCCCATCAGCGAGGCTTCTGTCTCTGTCACCTTCTCTTCCCTTCCCTCCTCCCATCTGTACATTCTCAGGGAACACTCCTGGGAGTTTGGGGCTCAGGGAGTGGAACGGCTGCTGATGTGTGGTCAGGCTGCTGCCTGGAGCACCCCTGGTGTCAGTGACCCGGGCCCCAATGTCCCCTGCTCAGCTGCTCTGGAGGCCTTCCTTTAGGGTTAGACGAAGGAATTCTGTGACCCCAAGTGTAACACCTTTCTGGGCTGTGCCTTGTAATGTCCCCATTCTGTGTCTAGATGACTTGTGCTGTGTTGTCTTGGTTACTCCATGTTGGTTTCCCTTCAAATCTTTTTCCCCAGATAAGAAGATAGAAAGATTGGATACGGATGATTTGGATGAGATTGAAAAAATAGCTAACTGAGAAGCTCCACCAGTGAGTCGCTGGTGCTCACACTCGGCGCTGCCCAGCCCAGGAGACTAGTGCTTTCATGGCATCGGCCTTGACGGCACCTCAAAGACAAAGGCACGAGTAGAGAAGCTACCTACCTCATTCACAATTACGTTTGGACTTGACAAAAATTTGTGCAAATCTAGGGGAAAATCAGAGGAAACTTGCATTTTGGTAAATAATCTGCCCTCCTAAATCCTACAGGTCTTTTTGAGGTCACATTTTCCCTCTTTTTATAGTAATCTGTTTGCTCTATGATTGCTTTCCCCAAGACCTCTGCCTTCCCTCTAGCTGGGGTTTAGGATCATACTGCAGCCCTGCAGAAATTACATAGGTAGTTGTAGTTGGGAGAGACCACCAAGATAGTGTGTGGCTGGGCACCAATGGCTTACGCCTATAGTACTAGCTACTCAGGAGGCTGAGATCTTAGGATTGTGATTCAAAGGCAGCCTGGGTAGGAAAGTCTTCAATACTCTTATATCCAGTTAACCACCAGAAAACTAGAAGTGATGCTGTGGCTTAAGGAAGTACAGTGCTAGCCTTGAACAATAATGTTCAGGAACAGTGCCCAAGCCCTGAGTTCAAGCCCCATCGCCAAAAAGAAAAAAGAAAAAAAAGGTGTGTGGCTCCCTGTTGTAGATGGAGTGAGGGGTTTAGGGCAGCGTCGTCACAGACATCATCTCCTCCCTTGCTCTCCTCTCCCCTCCTCACCCCCTTCCTCAGTAGAACTGCTATGGATGTTTTCCCTGAGCTGAGGCCATCTTCCTTCTGGAATCCATACACATTCCAGCTGGTCGTTTTTACCTGTTCTCTGGGGCAGAACCTAGCCCTTTTTCTCCCTGAGGAACAACTTGGCTACTTTTGTATTCTTTGGATTGGGGAAAGAAACACAGAAGTCAACGAATCAACAGTTGTGTGAGAAAGGTTGGTCTAACAGGGTTGCCAGATCCTTCGAGGTTCAGCACCTGCCTTTTTCTTGTAGCTACTCTGAGCCTTGGTACTCTACTGTAGCAGCCAGGAGACACTGAATGGTTGTCTGAACCATCTGGCCCTGTTAGTTGATTCTAATCACAGGGTATCATACCGTACCTGAAGCCAAGTAACATTTTGAAAAAGTTAAGACCAAACAAAACTAATTGTGTTATCCATAATAATGGACTTTATGGGTTACTTAATTCATACATTGTCTGTATGAGTAAGGACACATAAATTATAGCTATTTGCATCATACATTGTAAGACATTTTAAGTAATTATGAGAAATGCTTTACTAATCATGATTTGTTACATGTATTTTTCTGCTAATTAGACCTAATATAAACTCATCAAAAGCATGTGTGTATGAAAAAGTCTCTGTCCCCTCAGGATTCAGCATTGCTTCCCGCAGGCTGAATATGCCCATGTGGCCTTCTATTTGCAAAAAACAGCGTGCTTGCTATGTTTTTTTCACACTTTCTCTGGCCCCGTGGTTTACTTAACAGCCTGTCATCACATGTGGACACATGCAGCTCACTCCACCTCCGGAAGATGCCTTGTTCCCCTCTGCTCATTTCACTGCCCCAGTGATGGCTCTAACATGCATTCTTACCCACAGTGCAACAGCAAACATGTCTTAGAGCACCAGTGACAATCCTTTTAGGATGTATTCCTGGAAGGAGGATTGTTACGTCAAAGAGCAAGACATTTAAGTCAATGCATTGCCAGTTAACTGCGCTGAAAAGGCCTTAACATTGTGGTGACACTAAATTTCCTCTTACTTGTTGCCAACTCCATTACCAATTTTTAGAACTGCCAGTTTTATAAGTATGCACATTAGAGTAGAATATATCATTGTCGTTTTGTTTTTGTTTATCTGAAAAGCCTTGGCAGTGTTGCAGTTTGATAATTGTATTTTCTTTTTTTGAGAGCTGCCCATTCCTTTCTCACTGTTTTATTATTGGACTCTCAGTTCTTAGTGATTTTTGGCAACTTTTGTGTACTAGAGGAATTAGACTAGCTTGAGTGGTAGATTTTTTCCTTCTTTCTTTCATCAATCATAGGGCCTAGGCACTGTCCTGCGCTCTTTTGCTCAAGGGTAGCACTCCACCACTTTGAGCCATAATGCCATATATGGTTTTCTAGTGGTTAATTGAAGATGAAAGTCTCATTGACTTTCCTGCTTGGCCTGGCTTTGAACCATGATCCTCAGTTCTTAGCCTTCTGAGTTAAGTGTGAGCTACTAGTGTCCAACTAGTAGATATTTTCTGAGTGAGGCTGTGTGTGTGTGCATGTGTGTCTGTGTGGATGTGGATGTGCTGGTAGATATTGTGTGTGTGTGTGTGTGTGTGTGTGTGTGTGTATTTGTGTGGGCCAAAGCTGGGGCTTGACCTTAGGTCCTGGCCTGAATGCTGTCGCTGAACTTTTGTGCACAAGGCTAGTGCTCTACCACTTGATCCACAGCTCCACTTCTGGTCTTTTGATGTTTAATTTGGAGATGAGACTCTCATATACTTCCTGTTTGGGTAGGTTTTGGACTGTGATCTTCATATCTCTGAGCCACTAGCACCTGGCTTCACACAAAAGTTTATTATTTTGTTGTGCTGAAGATCTTCAACACAAAGCCTTGAGTGTGTTGAGCAAGCATTACACCACTGAGCTACCCTGAGCCGAAAGGTTTATTTTCTTGTGTGATGCAAAGGATTGATCCCAAGGCCTCATGCCTTCTATGTAAACACTCTACCATTTGAGCTATGAGCTTGACTTCCCAAAAGTTTAATGTTATATTCCACTTTTAAAATATTTGGCCACACACGCTGGTGGCTCACGCCTGTAATCTTAGCTACTCAGGAGGCTGAGATCTGAGACTCATGTTTCAAAACCAGCCCAGGGAAGTCTGTGAGACTATTATCTCCAATAAACCACTCAGAAAACTGGAAGTGACACTGTGGCTCAAGTGGTAGAGAAGTAACCTTGAGCTGAAGAGCTGAGGGACAGTGCCCAGGCCCAGAGTTCAAGCCCCATGAGCAAAACAAAAACAACTTGAAGTTTTATGTCATCAGTAGCAAACTTCAGGCCCTGAACTCAAAGTCTATTAAAAAAAAAAAAAAACTTTCACTGGGTGATGATGGCTCGTGCCTGTATCCTAACTACTCAGGAGGCTGAGTAGTTCAAAGCTGGCCCAGGCAGGAAAGTCCATGAAACTATCTTCTTCCAGTTGTGAGGCTTGAACTCAGGGCCTGGGCGCTATCTCTGAGCCTTTTTTGTGCAAGGCTAGTACTCTACCACTTTGAGCCACAGCACTACTTCTGGTTTTCTGGAGGGTAATTGGAGATGAGAATCTCATGGCCTTGCCTCCCTGGGCTGGCTTTGAACCACTATCCTCAGCCTCCTGAGTAGTTAGGATTACTGGTGTGAGCCACAGCACCTGGCTCCATGAGACTCTTAGCTCCAATTAACCACTTAAATACTAGAAGTGGACCTGTGGCTTGACATGGTAAAGCGCTAGCCTTGGACTCTAGGGCCTGAGTTCAAGTCCCATGATGGGCACTTCCTCCCCCCCCCCCCCCCCAACAAAAAGGTACATGTTACAGAGTTGCAGTAGAACACAAATGGGAAGTGCTGGCGAGGCTGAAGCTGTAATCATACTGGGTCCAGCATGGGAACCACACATGTCAGCTGCCCTGCACTTCACAGGCCAGCTCAGAGCAGCCCCCTGCTTGGAGAGAGCTGGCCCACAACTTCCTCTGACTGGCTGAAGGAGTCAGATCATGGACCCCCACCTTGCAACAGGTAAATAGCATTACCCCTGTAGACCTGGCCCTTGATGTCCCCTCATCTCTCTTGGACAAGGGCTTCACAGGTCAGCAGACATAGCTCTTGTCTGGCAAACAGGACACAGAGAAGAGCGGCAGGAATCAGCTGTGTGGTCAGCCATTGTGCCTGTGTATGTACATGTGTGTGTATACTCGTGCTTCAGCCTCCCAAGTAACTACAGAATGATGTTACCATACTCAGCAATCATTTAGAATAAAGTGTGTCTCTTTCCCCCCACACACACTAATTTACTCAATCATATAAGTATAGACTGATGATCTCAACCTTGATCATTTGGTTAAGGTGACTGTGGTAACCTAGAATACTTTTAAGTTCCCTTGAGTCATGAAATTTAGTTATTTCCATTAATAGCAAAGACAGCTGGGCTATCCCTCCCTACCAGAAGTGGTCCCTGGTGTATGCTTCATAGCAACCCGGACCTCTCAGGAAGAGCAGTGGAGACAGCTCCAAGACAGAAACAGCCATCCATGAGAGGCAGGCTGCTCAGCTCTTCTGTGGGTCTGTCAGCTTGAGACCAGTGAATGGCAATTCCAAAGAAATACTGCAGAAACCTGCATTTTCATAGATTTATTTTTTAAAAATTCTTTTGTGGAGAGTTTGTGTGTGTGTGTGTGTGTGTTTTTAAGAAAAAAAATAGTCATTTTGTAACAAAGGCAAGATGGCATTCAGACCCCTGAGTGCAGAGACCTTATGTTTCTTCGTACTTTACAGGCCTCCTCCCGGGAGAAGCCATCTGCCCAAGGAGACTGTGTTATTCTCAGGAGCAGAAACAGTTGTTAGATGAAAGGCATTAATCCCATATCTTCAGAGGAGCCGGCTGGGCCTGATCCCACTGTTCAGCACAGCTTTAGGGACAGAGGGTCATCCTCTTGCATTTTTGTGAGTTGTTACCTAGGCACAGACTCACTACAGAGATTTTTTTATCTCCCCCTCAAAGGGTAATAAGCAGGAACATTGATTCCTAATTCACATTTAAAAAGGCATTACTTAATTTTGGAAAATGTAGTTTGGGATTTGACCCACCCTCTTACCTTTCTTACCCTGCCGGACATGACAGGAAATAGTTCCTTGCCAGCTGAACGGTAGCCTGCGGCTGTTCCCATCAGGTAAAATGTTTAATTGCTTCCGTCTCCTGGCACTCAGCCAGTGTGCCAGGCAGGTGTGTATCTGCCCATTCCACCCCAGGCCACTAAGCCAAGGGCGCCTTGCCAAAGAGCCCTCTCTCTGCTATAGACTATATAATTTATATATTGTTCATACAACTATGGCTCTTTGCACATCTGTGAGACACAGGAACTGCTATAGGACTTTCTTGGCATCCAGGAAGCAAGCTTTTTGGTAGAAGCCTGAAGGGTCTAGGTATAGTTCATAAAGTTCCCTTTTTCCTGTCCCTGAGACCAGAAGTTCATCCTAGATAGAGCCACAGAACACCTGGGCCCCAGGTGCGATTGATAAAAACAGGTGCTGGGGCTGGGAAGGTGCTTTAGTGGTAGAGTGCTTGTAGCATTCATGAAGCCCTGGGTTCCATTCCTCAGTACCACATACACAGAAAAGGCTGGAAGAGGTGGGGTGGCTAAAGTGGCAGAGAGCTAGCCTTCAGCAAAAGCAGCTCAGGGACAGTGCCCAGGCCCTGAGTTCCAACCCCAGGATTGGCAAAAACAACAAAACCAGAGGCGCTGCTAAAAGTGTGTCTTGAATGAGATGCAAACTGCTGGTTCAAGCCATTGGACATTTTGCCTTTGGGCATTTGGGGGCTTTTGTTACTGCACCATAACCTAGCTGTCCTAAGCACCCTGTACCCCAGGTAAGGGTTGATTTTGTCTAGCCACCCTAGCCTAGTCCTTAGGGATGGGTTGCATCCAGGTACACAAATTCCAGAGCAGCTTCTCTGCATTAGTTTATTTCAGCAAAGAGCTTGGCCCTGCACTCCTTGGCTTAAACCTCCATTGTGACAGATTTGTTAGATAAGCAATGGGGAGAGGGAGGAGACCAGGATGAAGTCTCTGGAGACCAGGAAATTGAGAAAGGCATCTGCTAAGTAGATCTCATATTTCCTGCAACCTCACTAAAGCTTTGGGATTGAAAGAAGTATAAACTCAAACAGAATGGGGATAAATCTAACTAGATCAGGCATTTAACAAAACTTTGGAACACAAAGATTTTAAATCTCTCAGTAAAGGGAACTAGAAAGCTTTTTTTTTTTTTTATCCCCATCTAAAAGCCAACTATAAGGCTGTAAAAACATATATACAAAATATCAAAAGGCTACTACTTTCAAGTTTTTCTTTCACATTTTGTTGTATTATCCATTTGGCAAATAGTTTAAGTATCTTTTCCCAGTAGTTGTCCAGTTAGTCCACTAACTGGAAACATTTTGTCGGGCGCTGGGGGCTCATGCCTGTAATCCTAGCTACTCAGGAGGCTGAGATCTGAGGATCGAGATTCAAAACCAGCCTGGGAGACTTAACTCCAATAGACCAATGGAAAACCGGAAGTGGTGCTGTGGCTCAAGCGGTAGAGCACTCACCTTGAGCTGAAGAGTGCATGGACAGCGCCCAAGCCCAGAGTTCAAGCCCCACGACCGACAAAAAAAAATATTTTGGCAGTTGTAGGGTTTGAATTCAGGGCCTGGGCATGGTCTCTGAGCCTCTTTGTGCCCAAGTCTAGCTCTTTACTAGGTGAGCCTCAGTGCCACTTCCAATTTTTGAGTAGTTAACTGAAGAGACTTCTCTGCCCTGGCTGGCTTTGAACCGTAATCCTCACATCTCAGCCTCCTGAGTAGCTAGGATTGCACAGGTGCCCAGCTCCACTAAAATTTAAGCATCCATTTTTCTCCAGTGATCCCACAAGGCCAAGACCCGGGCCAGCTCTTCAAAGGAAAGCCTTCCCCTTCTACAGCACCTGCTAGCCCAGTAAGCTGTAGGCCCCTGTGGGGTGGTGGGAGAAACACACAGTGGGACCAAAGGGACATGCCAGTCTCAGGGATACTGTCCTTGAACTCCTCCCAGAAGCGTGGGGATGTCCCAGCTTTGGCGTGAAGGAAGAGGCTTCTAACAGAGACTCTGCACTTAGGAGCGGCTAGTGTGGCTTCAGGACAACAGTGTGGGAAACTGCTGCCAGGAATTCCTTTCAACTAATTCCTCTTGAAGGCAGCTGAAAACAATGAGCTTATTTTTAATCAAAATATTTGCAGTCCCACAAATTTGTGCAGAGTTGCTGAAAGCAGGCGCCTCTGGTTGAAGGCAGGGTGTCCGGGAGGTTTGTTGTTAGCCTCCCATGCCTCCCCTGCCCCAACCCTTAGCCTCACTTGGTCATAGCCCCCCATTCTCAGATACACCTATGATCATTCAGACAACTCTGTGGGTTGTTGTTGTTGTTTTAATTCAGAAAGAAAAAGGGAAGGAAATAAAAATGTTTAAATAACTACTGAAGAAAAGGAGATCTGTTTCGGTGCTGGGACCTACCTCTTCCAGGATAGGGATTAAAGGTTTGAACAAAAGAAAAACAAAAGAAATAAATTATCTGCTAAATACTGTTTGGCATAATTGCACTGTTTCCATCTTCACACTCAAAACAGCCTCTTGAGGAAGCACTTGAGGGGCAAGAACAGGACGTCCGCTGCCTTGACCTCCAAAATGGCAAGGAGGCCCCCCCCCAATCCAACCCATCCTCATGCTGCCTGTTTTTGGAATTGGAAGGTTCAGACTCGAGCTAAGTTCTCAATACATCAATACATTAATTTTTAGAGGTGCTCAGAGCCCCACCCAACCCTCGTCTAACCCTCTCCCGTGGGTGGCTGTCCCACAGACAGCTGCAGCAGTGGACCAGTCAGTGGTCAGGAAGATACAAGCGGTTTGTGTTCATTTGGGGAGGGGATCCTTCCCAGGGCCTGGGAGCTTCACAGAAGCTCTTTCTGCTCAACTTCTACAACCTCGAAGGTGAGAGAATACCATCAGCAGCTTCTGCTAGAGACTTGAGCTGGGTCCAGTCCTATGAGTAGCTTCCAGTTGTAACCTCTGTTTGTTGGTTTTCCAGCCCTTCTAGAGCTGAGAAGGAAAGGAGGACTGGGGAAAGAGGCCAGAGGTGAGCAAGGCGGGGTGTGCAGGCAGACAGGCAGGAGGGGGCATGCGGGCAGCCAGCTCTGCTCCCCCTAGCAAGGCTCCAAGCTACCTGCATGGCCTGCTTACAACCATGAAGGAATGAATTTTGGTAGGCAGCCACTCCTGGCAGCTTCAGGGTAACTAAAGTATGAGCCTAACGCAAATTCCACCCCCAAGCAAGAGGTTTCCTGCTCCTCTTTGGGGTGACAAGTGGAAGGAAATGGTGCATGCACGGGTAGCTGGGTTCTCCTCTCCAGCCTGTTTTCCAAAAAAAAACGTGTGTGTAAAAAGGTGGGAGGGAGGGAAGAGGAGGGTTAAGGGACACGGAGGGAGGGCAAGTTTTCTGATACTGTTTCCAGAGCAACTAGTAAGCTGGTGAGGAGGCCCAGGGCCCCAGAGACACTAAAAAAAAAGGTTGTGGGTGAACAGGAGGGGCAGGGCACGTGAAAGCACCTTTCAAGTGTCAGGGCTTCCTAGGCCCCTGAAGGGTTCCTGACACCTCTGATCTCCGGAGTTGGGCCCTAGGCGAGGTCCACCCCTCAGCACCGGGTGAATACAATCCCAACATCTGCTGACCAGCGAAACGCCTTGGTCGGAGGCCACATGGCGCCCCCTGGGTTTTCACCGCATTTCTTTGGCGGGTTTGCATTCACCCAGCTGGGCCTGAGGGAGAAAGGACACGTGCTCTCGGCTTTGGAGACCCCAACTTCTCTCCTGGGATGAGGCGTACCTTCCCCCCCCCCCCCCGCCCCCAGCCTCGATGAATGCTCCGCCCCAGCCCAAGCCACCCGCCCCTCTCTGGGTCCAGGCCGACGCTCAGCCCCAAGCCCTGCCCTCCACGCCCCAGTGGAGCTAGTCGGCCGGACTAAAACGCTCTTTGCTATCGAGCCTGAGAAAAGAACTCCAAGGAGGCCCGGAGCGGCCTCGACTCCGTAAAAAGCGGGAGGAAGTGGGATAGAGCGGCCGCTGGCCTGTCTCCGAAGGCCATTGATTAGAAAAGACGGGTCCAGCGCCGGAAGTTCTCCTTGAGCCGCATGATTGGCTGGCAGAAAAAAAGCCCCGCCTGACCGCAGCGCTGATTGGTGCAGGGCCCGAGGGGTTTCCCCTCCCCCTCACAGAGTCTCCTGATTGGTGGGCAACAGCAGGCGCGCTCAGGACTGCAGCATGATTGGTCCCGACCGCGGCCTGGGGCGTCGCTCCTGATTGCCTGGTGACGCGCAGAGCCGGAGCGCGCCCTGCGCCTCGCGGCTTGGGCGGGTAGGGTGGTAAGCCGGGCCAGACTCAGTTGCCTCGGTAGACCTCGATCTTGCTGGCCTTGGCTAGCATGTCGATGATGTGGGCCTCGAAGTCCGCGTCGTGCACGCCGGTCTTCCGGAACTCGCCCGCATACCGGTTGTTCTCCCAGTAGTGGTGCCAATTGCCTCGGCTGTCGGCTCCGAACCCGTATACGTTCACCTGCGGAGAAGGTGGCACACAGGGTCACCGCGCCGTCCGCAGCCCAGGAGCTGGCGCTCATCAGCTCCCAGTGAGGGGTCACGGCGGCCTGGCAGGACCCTGACTCCCAGCACCGCGGTTCCCTCTGCAGACTTCCTTCCCCTCCAACGAGAGCAAGGGACAAGCTCTCCCTCCCCGACCCCAGGGGTGCACTTTGGTTTGAAAGTTGCCAATCAAATGTCTAATACAGCAGACTGAATTTAAGGGGTGAAAGTGAGTGTGGAAAGCATGAGCCCTGGCCACTTAGCAAAATGTAATCTATTTCCTTTTTCAATAAAATTAACTTTTTGTTGTTGTGGGGCTTGAACCCCGGGCCTGGGCGCTGTCCCTCAGCTCTTCAGCTCAAGGCTAACACTCTACCACTTGAACCACAGCACTACAAGCTTTTTCTGAGTAGTTCATTTGAGATTGTTTCAGACTTTCCCTGACTAGGCTGGCTTCAAACTGTGATAGTCAGATCTCAGTCTCCTGAGTAGCTAGGTGTGAGCCACCAGTGCCCGGCAAATTTAACTTCTTAATGAAGGTTACGATTTATAGAATCATAAAAGCAACAATATTTTAGAAATATCTCTACAACGTAGAAATGGGGCATGACAGCCAGTTTCTGCCTGCAAAAATGCCTTCTCCTGGGGGCACTACTGAGCCTCTAAAAGAACTGATTACCTCTGTACCATGGGTTCTATTTTTCCTCCAAACTGGCATCTACTGCTTACCTCATCACACACATGAAGGGCAAAGAAGAGCACCAGCATCCCTGTGGAAGGGTACCGCCCATGATGCTCTGTCCACCTGTCATGGATATACTTGAAGAAGGCTGGGTTGTAGATCTGGACCTGGAGGGGAAAATGTAACAGGTGCATGAAGAATTTGGGGGCCTGAAACTCAGGACAGACTCTGTGAAGCTTCCAGCAGTTCAGTGTCTGGCTGCTATGGCCAACAGTGGAGTGAGGCATACCAGAGATGGGGTTGTGGAGAGCATGAATGCACCCTTGAGCTAGAGGACTGGACACACCCCGAGTAAACACCACTGTGTCCGTGGAGGGGACAAAGAAGGGAGAAGTGGGAAACTCACCTTTTCTTTGTCCACTCGAAGGAAGGACTTCACTGGGGCATAGGTGCTGCAAGCAGAAAGATAACATTGCAGGGGTCCCAGACCCAAGAGATGCCTCTCCTTTTCAGGACTGAATAATAACAGCCTCCCAACTCTCAGATTGATCTGCCTCCAGACTGCTCCCTGCGGCACATCATCACTGAATGACTGTGTGCAGGACCTAGATCAGAAACCCTAATTTGCTCCAGGGCATTTCAAGATAAAAACAGGGATGTTTAGACATGTCCAGGGTAATTCTATAACCCATCCCCAGCCCTTCTTCCCTGCTAAGAACTCTCCACTTGGACTGACTAATCATCTCAAGTACAAACATTGTCAAGCACAAACATTTCAATGTTTGCACACAAGCCCTGCCCAGAATGACCCTCTCTGTACTGTTCTCAGCCATGGCTCCCACAATCTGTACTGTCTTCTCTGAGTATCTGTGTAACTTCAACTATATAACACAGATGGCCTTCTGGCTTTCCAAACAGAAGATAATAAACATCCTAAAGTCAGCAAACCATAACATATATTTTTTTATTTTATTTTTGTCGGTCATGGGGTCTGAACTCTGGGCCTGAGTGCTGTCCCTCAGCTCTTCAGCTCAAGGTAAGCGCTCTACCACTTGAGCTACAGTGCCACTTCCAGCTTTTTCTGCTTATGTGGTGCTGAGGAATTGAACCCAGGGCTTCATGCATGCAAGACAAGCACTCTACCACTGAGCCACCTTCCCAGCCCCTAGCATCACATAAGCAGAAAAAGCTGGAAGTGGCGCTGTGGCTCAAGTGGTAGAGTGCTAGCCTTGAGCTGAAGAGCTGAGGAACAGCGCCCAGGCCCAGAGTTCAGGCCCCATGACCAACAAAAACAAACAAACAAACAAACAAAAGTCTTGGTACAGCTAGGTGCTGCTAGGTCATATGTGTATAATCCTAGCTACTCAGGAAGCTGAGATCTGAGGATCAAGTCAACCCAGGCAGGAAAGTCCATGAGACTCATCTCCACTGAACCACCATAAAGCCAGAAATATAGATGTGGCTCAAATGGTACAGTACCAGCCTTGAGCAAAAACACTAAGGAACAGCTCCTAGGTCTTGGGTTCAAGCCTTAGTTCCCGCATCTCCCCACCTCTGTGCGCACACACAAATACATGATACATAAAATATAATTGAAAGTAAAAGGTGAGGAGGTGAGGGTGAAGTTTAGAGGTAGGGCACTTGCCTCGCATGAACAAGGCCTTGGGTCTGCTCACTAGTGTGCAGATGGCACTATGCAGAAGTGACACAGCAAGCTGTGTCCTCAGCTAACGCACCATGTTGGCCTTCTTTCTTCCCTAGCCTGTGTTGGCCAAAATGTCAATGAAAGGAATTCTACAATCTAGCAGACTCCTCCCAAGCTTGTCTTGTCACCCATATTCCACTCCCAGCCAACAACGAGACTCACAATCGGATCTGCCCTGTTGACAGGGCGCTGGCAATCCACAGGAGGTCCAGGGCCTTGAAGGGCACCAACACGAAGCTGACATTGGCAGGCAAGTTCTTGGCACTCTCAGGGTACATGAAATGGTGGGTGGTACGGCTGCCAACATCCTGTTCAAAGCCCACGGTTGGTGCCTGATTCATCCTGCAGAAAAGAGGGTAACGTGAGAAGAAGAAGCTGCCATGGAAACTGATACAAGAGGTTTAGAGAATGATTTGGTGCCAGCCATCAAAAACGCAAATGATGTTCACTGTGACCCAGCAATTGCGTTTCTAGAAAATGGTTGCAAAGGTATGCATCCAAGGCTATTCAATCATTGAAACAGTAAAGAACTGGATAATCCATTTTGCATGTTCATAGAATGGGATACGAGCCATCAGAACGTAGAAAAGATCACATGTGCTGGTAGGAAATACATATAAGAGTTAATTCAGTGAAAGAAACAAATGGTGTGAAGTAGCTTTCTTTTAATATATCCTTTAATAACTACTGTAAATGACAAGGAAATACAACACAGAATGGAAAATTTTAGAAAGATATGTATATATATATATTTTATTTTTTTTATTTTATTTATTTTTTTGTCAGTCATGGGGCCTGAACTCTGGGCCTGGGCGCTGTCCCTCAGCTCTTCAGCTCAAGGCAAGCGCTCTACCACTTGAGCCACAGCGCCACTTCCAGTTTTCTGAGTGGGTGATTGGAGAGGAGATAAGAGTCTCACAGAGTTTCCTGCCCAGGCTGGCGTTGAACTGTGATCCTCAGATCTCAGCCTCCTGAGTAGCTAGGATTACAGGTGTGAGCCACCAGCGCCTGGCTAGAAAGATATACTTTGAAACAGAGGTCTCCCCCCACCCCATTTGTCTTGTTTGTTCATTTATCTGTCTTTGGGAGGGTGAGGGAGAGCACAGAAATAGAGGGACAAAGGATGAACAAATGCAGCAGTGGACACTGGACACTATGTTGAAAATGAACTACACAACTTATGGGTGAGGACAGGAGGGAAAAACAGGGAGAGAGCGAGGGAAGGGGGGACGTTGTCCAAAAAGAAATGTACTTTTCCCCTGACTTATGAAATGGTAATCCTTTTGTACCTCACCATTGTAACCATTGTACCTCGCCAATAAAAATATTTAATTAAAAAAGACATATTTTGAGGGCTAGAAATGTAGATCAGAGGTAGCCTCGCATGTATGAGGTGGGAGTCCAATCCCAACACACACACACACACACACACACACACACACACTTACACTTTCAAATGTGTCCTTTTTATGGCCCTCAATGTAATAAGATATCCCACTCTTCCAATTTGTGGGGGAAAAAAGAAAAAAAATGTATCTAAGCAAGGCTCCCCTTTTTAGTGAACATCTTTTTTTTTTTTTTTTTTTTTTGTGGTCGTGGGGCTTGAACTCTGGGCCTGGGTGCTGTCCCTCAAGCTCTTCAGCTCAAGGCGAGCGCTCTACCAGTTGAGCTACAGCGCCACTTCCGGTTTTCTGGTGGTTTATTGGAGATAGGAGTCTCACGGTCTCTCCTGCCCGGGCTGGCTTTGAACCGTGATCCTCAGATCTCAGCCTCCTGAGTAGCTAGGATTACAGGCGTGAGCCACCGGTGCCCAGCTTTAGTGAACATCTTACATAGCAGGCAAGCCAGCTTTAAACACAACCTGTTAGTCCTATCTTTTTTGTCAGTCATAACTTGGGGCCTGGGCGCTATCCCTGAGTCCTTTTGCTTAGGACAAGCACTCTGCACTTGAGCCACAGCTCCACTTCCAGTTTTCAGATCTCAGTCTCTTGAGCAGCTAGGATTACAGGCATGAGCTACCAGTGCCTGGCTTGTCTTATCTTTGGCTATGACTCTTTATGAGGATATCCATCTTCTGAGAAATACCTCGTGGAATCATGACCCCCCAAGGCAAGATGGCCCTAGCTGGCCCTCCTTTGGGAACACAGGGACTAAGAGAGAGGGCACAGTCTCAAGGTGCTTTCCCCAGTGTTGATTCCAGTTCTGTCCTTGCAGTGGCTGGCACCATGAGCTGGCTGTGCAGCGTGCTGTGCTGCAGAAGCACCAGTGTCTCTCTACAACTTCTCATCCAATGGTGGAGCAGAGGAGCTGCCCACTGCTGCGGGCCGTAGATCTATCCCACTCCCGCCTCTCGCTCCTCTTTGAAGACTAGAAGGTGTCTTGAAGTGAGAAGCCGTAATACTTAGATAATGAGCCAGACATCAGACATGGTGGCATTTGCCTATAATCCCAGCACTCAAGAAACTGAAGCAAGAGGATCTCTAGTTCAAGTTTACCCTGAGCTATACAATGAGACTCTTTAAAAAAAAAACCAAAAAACTGGGTGGGTGCCAATGACAGGCTCAAGCTCGAAATCCTAGCTGCTTGGGAGGTGGAGATGGAGAGATCACGATTTGAGGACAGCCCAGGCATAACAGTTCATGAGACTCCATCTTACTCAATGGCTGAGTGTGGTGGTACTGCTGTTATCTCTGCTCCGAGGGTGGGGTGGGCACCGCAGCTGGTGCTGCAGTGGTATGTGCCAGTGACACAGAGATGCCCATGTCGGCTTGCAGCCCAGGCTGGTCCAGGCATCAAGCAAGACACTTACCTTGAAAATAAGGTAAAAAGGGGCTGCAAGCATGAATCAAGTGCTTGCCTTACAAGCACGAGGTCCCAAGTTCAATCCACAGTACTGCCAAACTTAAAATTTTTATTTTTTGGATAGTGAGTCTTTCTTCTTAACTACTTCAGTTAGTCTGGCTCACACAGACAACCTAGAATCTTCCCTCCAGAACTTACAGTATTCTATGTCCAGGACAAGGATCAAATCCTGCTTTCCTGTTCCAGATCCATCTTTAGAGGAACCAGGCTTCTACCTCCTGGTTGACTGCCCTCCCCCCTCAAGCCTTTAGGGTGAAGAGATACTTTTCCTGAAGGAGCAGAGAAGTATCCTGCCCCTCCCATGAGTAGCTCCAGGGCTGCTGGAGCCCACGCACTCAGGGACTGGAGACCACGCAGGACACCAGCCTGTCTGCTTCTGCTTCTGCCAAGTCACCAGGGCCCCAGGGGATGGTATCAGGGCTGGCAGAGATGGAAAGGAGCAAGCAGCTGGTGATACCAGGCTGGACAGGAGCTGAAGTCTAGGTTCATTCTTGTGAGGACCCAAGAAGTAAACTTCATCTGTAGATCAAAAGGCTGCAGCTAGCTAGATACCAGTGGCTCACACATACAATCCTCGAGATTCAGGAGGCTGAAATCTGAGGATCACAGTTTGAAGCCAGCACAGGCAGGAAAGTCCATGAGATTCTTATCTCCAATTAACCACCAAAAAGCCAGAGGTGGAGCTGTGGCTCAAGCAGTAGAGTGCTAGCCTTGTGCAAGAAAAAGCTCAGGGGCAGTGGCCAGATTCCAAATTCAAGCTTTAGGACTGGCGCGCATGCACGCGTGCACGCACACACGTGTGCACACACGCACGCGCGTGCGCGCACGCACACACACACACACGCAGGCTACAGCAGCCCCTGGCTGACTTATGAAGACCCACTGTCTGCTTTGTTCATTGCACCAACAACCAGAGTGCGCATAAATCTGTCCTTAGACCTGGCGGGTGGGATCGCTTGTTTCCCACAGGTAGCACTGCTGCAGAGCCTGCTTGTCCCCCACTCCACGCCCACCCACTGCCCAGGCACCAGCCTGGCAGTGAGAAAGGAAAGAGCAAAAAGCCCCCCCCCCCCAAAATGTTTTATAGCCTCGGAGGGAAAGGGAAGAAACGTGACATCCTTTTGGAGATAAAACTTGTTTTGAGGCTCTGATTCATTTTGGAGAAAGGCCAGAGGATGAGCTGGCTCTCTGGGTCTTGGAGGCCAACTATTCCCAGTCATCTATTTGCCTCCAGCATTTAAAGGAGCACAGGAGTGGACACAGGTAGAATGGATGTGCTCTCTAGTTTAGGGTCCAGTGTCCAGCTGCCTGTTCCCTTTGATGCCTTCAGGATGTATAACATGCCTTCTGTGTTCTGGCACTAGCTAAGAGTTGTAGATGGATCTGATGATCAGATGAGGCAGGAGAAGCTCAAGCCCATGTAGGGGAAGGAGCAGAAACTTGGGGAGGGCCAGGAAGGCACAGCCATCGCCTCACTGTAACTCAGGCTGGCCTTCCCAGTGCACTCACAATGGTCTTGGGATGAAAGGCCTCCCTGTCAGCTCCAAACCAAGACAGAGCTATCGATACACAGCCACCCCTGCCATCTGGTTCCTGATACAGACCAGCAGACACAGCCAATGACCATGCGGGTCACCATTTTCAGAAAGCAATTCTGGAAACCACATCTTGAGCTTGGTTGTTAGGAAGGAGATCTGGGAATCTGCTTACAGCTGGACCTGACTTAAGTACCACCTACATGTCACCTACATGTCATAAGCAGCTGAAACTTTCAGGCCTGCAGGACTAAAATTTCTCAACCATCAGGGACACCTGATGGAAAGCTCCCACTTAGTGCTGCAGACAGCTGGGCAGACAGGGGCTCAGGTCTCTGAGTGTTGTTTCCTTGGGCTTCCCAAGTGCCTTAGGCTACAAGAGAGCAGATGCATCTTTCTCCAATCACAGCCATCACCACCTCTGGATGGATAGAGATCTCTCTCCAATTCCCATCTCACCTTTCACCCATCTGAGGGGCCAGCAATTGGAGGATGGGGATAACCCCAGGGGACGCAGGGGCGCTGGGAGGGGTCCGGTATTCTTTTCCCACTCTAACCCCTCACCATTTCCCAATATGAGGAAGTTCTTGCAAGGAATGTAGAAAGCCTCTGAGACTGCTGCCTTGGTGTTGCTATGGAGACAGAAACAGTTTCTAAGACAAAGCCCTTCCTTCTGCCTCCCGGGAAGCCTGGTCTTTCCGCCACACTCATCCTAAGAGATGCTGGCTAAAATCATGAATTTTTATTCATAATGCTCTTTCTCCCTCAAGGAGAGGGCTGGAGGAATATGCCATTGCGACATATCCTCCCCAGACTAAGTTGATGGAGGGAGTCAAAGACGGGTTCAGCCCAGGTGGCTGTCCTGAGTTTCCCTAGTCAGCAGCATCTTTGTCTGCATTGAACACGTTTCCTAGCCCGCTTCTTTTCTCCAGGCTGGGCCCAGATACCTCTGGAAGTCTCATGAGGATGAAGGAAAGGTACAGCCATTCACAACAAGCACCAGACAGCTCCCTTCTCTGCCTAGGACACATGTCTTCTATGAATCTGTCAGAAACAATCACCCATTTCTATAATGCGAGACGTTAGCTTGGTTTGGGATTCTCACTTCTGGCTTAATTGCTCAACGGTTAAAGGGTGAGTAGGGGAAGAGTTTTCACCCAACACCAGCCAGGGGTCTGGTTTTCAGCTCTCTCCAGAGGAATTCAGAGCCATGGAAACAGGTGTGCACCCCCAGCTAAGTTTAGATTTAGAACACTTACCCCAGACAAAAGAGAGAGACCTGAGCCTGTCACTGAAGGCTCTGGGTGCCAGGCACACGGGTAGCTGGCGACTTGGACCCCGCTACACAAGATCCAACAGATAGGTCCCCTCCTGGAGACTGGTGCTGGCCCACCGTCTTCCTGCAGGGGCTCACCTCATGATGAAGTTGTGCCCATCCACTTCCTGCCCATAGCCAGAGCCTCGCAGGTTGCCCGAGTTCCCCACCACAGCACAGCGCCGGCACTGGTGGGGGTCCCGGAGGCGGTAGGGGTTCTCGCCTGGCACAATCTGAAACAGCTTCTCCAGCACCTCGTTGGTGTTGTGTGACTTGAACTGGGGTTGCAACATCTGAGGTGAGGAGGGAAGGAGAGGACCATGAGGAGAGAGGACCTCTAGCACCCCTCCCACGCAGGCATAGACTTCCCTGCCCCCAGGCTGTTGGGGAGCCCCCCTTCCACAAGCAATGAAGACCCACCCTTCTCTCAAAAGCAGCAAAATGAGTGGGTGTTACTGTTCACAGACTTATGCCCTGCCAGTCATGGGGCTGCTCTGATACACTGGAGAGGGCCTGGGGAGGGGACAAGTCAACTTGTTATGGACTATGTGGGCAGACTTCCCTCAGGGCTCCTTCCCAGCCTGCCTACAGGGGGCGCTCTAGGACTCAGCATGATGGCTAGGGTTATAGATTCCCCAAGGGGCAATATTCATGGGACTCGTAAGCCGCTCCCTGAGCTCTTTGGGAAGAAGGGAGAGAGGCATATAAATGCTTTCAAAGCCAGCTGGGTAGAATACAACTTGTCCCTACATCCTCACACCAGCTGGATAGTCAGAGACTATAAACTGCAGTTCAGTGTTTATGAGCCCAGGCAGGTGACACATTGGAGTGAAGGGGTTGGTGGGGCCCACAGCTAACAGGAGACGGTGTACCCATCAAAAAGAGTAAATCAGCCGGGCGCTGGTAGCTCACGCCTGCGATCCTAGCTACTCAGGAGGCTGAGATCTGAGAATTGTGGTTCAAAGCCAGCCTGGGTAGGAAAGTCCATGAGATTCATCTCCAATTAACCACCAGAAAACCAGAAGTGGTGCTGTGGCTCAAAGTGATAGAGCGCTAGCCTTGAGCAAAAAGAGCTCAGGGACAAAGCTCAGGCCCTGAGTTCAAGCCTCAGGACTGGCACACACACTTATGAAAAAATTAGTAAATCAACCAATTGTTGATCACAAAGGATTGTGAGCCCAGCCAAATCTATTTTTTCAAGAAAAGTTAAAAATACAGATTTCATGTGCAACAACCTGATTTCTAAATATTGGTAACTAATCAAATGTTTATTAAAAAACGAAAACACTAGGCTTGGCCCACCATTACCACACTTGCCTAGCATATAACAGGCCCTTGGTTTAATCCCTAGAACTTAAAAAAAAAAAAAAAAAAGTGGGGCTTTGAGCCATACATCCATGGGTTTGTGGGATAATCAGGAGCTGTTCAGGGGGGCTAGAGCTCTCTCTGGAGAGGAAACCTGGCTCTGAGACAAGACACTCAACCTTCTGGCCAAGGAAGTTGGCTAAGGGTTGTAGACACACTTGCTGTTGTATGTAAACAGTCGCTAAGTCCCATCCCTGTAGGCAGGGAACCTCTTCTGTCCCCAGCATCCAATCCTGCTCGGGGTCTTCATCAGCCATTGCCAGGATGACACAGCGGGCAGGCGCCACGCACGCTCTGAACCTTGATGTTTCCCACACCATGAAGGCCGGGACTACCAGCGCAGGCAGAACCTTTGAGGGCTCTAGCTGCCATGGGAAGGGCCTGTGGAGCTCCTAGAGAGCCCTGGTCTGCAGGCCCCAGACCTGGGGTACAACGTGGGTTAGAAGATAGGTTCTGGGCATTTTTTTCTGGGAAGTCTGGCCACATGAATCATCCTTACAACTTTCCTAAACATAAGAGAAAGGAGAGTCATCCAACTCCTGTTGGTCGGCTGGAGAAACCAGGGGCCAGGAGCTGCGTTGGAGGCCCCCAGAAGGTAACACAGTCTCTGAGCTCAAGGAGAGGGCTCCACGTTGGCCCATAGCATTGGTGGAGACCAGCTGACCCTGCAGAACCCGGGGGAAGCTCCAGAGGTGATGGGCCCCGTGGATTACATAAGGAGAAGCAGAGAGGAGGGTCTGGGCTCCCAGGCAGTCGGCCCTCCCTCACCTCTCAGCCCCTGATGGAGGTTTACAGTGTTTTCTTATCCCAGCACGGAGCAAACGCTCTCCCAGTAAAGAATCAAGTGACTCTTAAGGTGGATGAGCCAACATTTATCAAGGAGGATATTCCGTTAAAATCCAGATTTGGGATGTCTGATAAGAGGTGAGAGGAGGCAGCAGCATGAACCCTATCCTGGCATAGCATGAGAAATGGCTGCCTCCTGCCTAACAGGAAGGCCGCCCCCCTACTTCTCCACCCAGGCTGCTCCTCTCATTGGCTTTGGGCCAGTGGAACTTTCTGGTCTATGTTGGGCTCCTATAGGCATCGCAGTTAGTCCTCTTTCCTTTCAGGTCAAAGTTCCCTCTGTCCTCCAGTACTGTGTGATCTGAGTACATGGCTCTGGTCAAATGGGCCTCTCACTTGATGAACACTTGGTGAAGGAGTAAGGGGTCCAAAGGATACCAGCCTAACCCTGCGAAGAAAACAGAGGGCTGGCCCTAGAGAGGGGCAGCAAAGGGAAGACAGGAAGCAGGGGCTGTGGTTCTCACCATCCACCACCTCTGAACATCCGGAGGGAGATCCATGTTCTCTCGGGTCCAGACGGGCGAGATGTTACCGTCGAAGTGGCTGTCGAACCAGTCAGAGGCGCCAGCGTCGCTCATGCAGCGTCGGCAGGCGCAGCTCTTGCCCCCCAGTTCCTCTTTGCCACCGTGCTGCTGTAGGCCGGTATAGCTGGGCACCAGCTTCACCCGGTGTGTCCCATCCAGGGCCCCCGAGTCCAGATAGGGCAAGGTGGCCATGCTGTGGTGTGAGTAGGTGAAGAGCAGCGACATGATGAACACCAGCAGGAAGGCCACGGAGAGGAACCACACACGCAGGGAGCACTTCATGGTGCCGGCGCGTGGGCCACTGTCACCGTGGCCAATCCTTTCCCAGTCTGCTGAAGGGGCAGCCACGGTGCAGCCTGTCTGTTCCGGCAGCGCGTGCAAAGGGCATAGGGGCACGTGCTGCGGCAGGGGACCCTCGCCACACCTTCCCCCCAGGGAAAGGAGCTGGTGGGCTGGCAGCAGTGGCTCCCCTGTCCCTGAGCCACTTGGGCACCCCCGCCGCTCAGGGCTGCATCAGGTCTCTCTGTCACTAGCTGGGCCACAAAGACTCTGCGTCTCCTGCCAGCCTGGCCAGGCAAACGTCAGTCCATCCCAGCCCTCTAGTCCCTTGTGATGGCTGACTGCCAGCTCTGAGGGACCCCTTCTTTGGTGGCTTGAGAAGGTCCAGTCCGGAGCAGTCGGGGTCCTTGTGGCTCATGAGCAGACAAGGAAGCGGCCCCTGGTCCCCCGCAGCGGGGAAGCTCTGGCCCTCTGCTCACCACAGAGAGCATGCAGGCTTCGGGGACCTGCATTCCACGCCAGAGCCCTCCCCCCTATGGCTGGCCCTCTTGACTGAGCTCCTTTCCCAAGGAAGGGTGGCCAGGCCCCCAGAGCAGAAAACCAGGAAGCTCCTCCCAAGGGTAGGGTGACACTCCTCTGCAGAGAACAATATCCTTCTCCGGTTAGCTTCGGCTCCACCGCTTCCCATCCAGCCGGCCGGGTTCCTCCTCCTGGTGGTCACAGCCCTGGCTGCAGGTGTGTGTGTGGGGAGGGTCACAAAGTGGCGGCTCTGGGCTCTGGTGGGGCTGAGAACAGCTGCTGCTCAGCAGGATGCTGCATCTGAGCTGTGTGGGTCAGCAGAGCGTGCCAGGAGCTCTCCCACACGGCCCAGGCTTCCTTTCTGAAGCTGCCAGCCTAGACTTGGTGGCTTCTCTGCTCATCCCTGCTCCCCCGGGGGCCAGTCTGTCCCGCTGTTGGCTCTTGGCTCGTGCTCACAGTAATCCCCTGGCAGGTTCCCCTCACTTGTCAGGCGCCAGGCTGCTGCAGCATGACCCTGAAATTGAAGAGAAAGACAAATGTGCAGAAAAATCACCTTCCACCCCACCCCTAATCTCAGAGGGGACAAAGCTGGGAAGGAGAGGAGATATCCCCCACTTGATCCAAGCGTGGACAAGAAAGGGCTCTCCCCGGAAACCGTGCACGGATAGCATTGCTTTGCATAACTCCCAACCCTCAGAGGACTAGATTAGCCCAGCACCTTCACTTATTAGCCAGAAGGTAAACAACGAGTCCAGCAAATTGATTTCCCCAGAGTCACAAGACAAGTCCCTGGAACCACTCAGTTTTGAAAGCCTGGAGTCCACTTTGAGTGGTTACTTTCAGGGCAGTTGTAAGAAAAAACAGCCCAGAGAAGATCCCAGGGAACTGTGAACATTGATTTCCCCCCTGGTGCTCTCAGGGCCCATGGGAAGCCTACCCAGATAAAAGGAGGGCTGGAGCCTGGTGCTGGTGGCTCAAGCCTGTAATCCTAGTTACTCAGGAGGCTAAGATCTGAGGGTCATAGTTCAAAGCTAGCCTGTGCAGGAAAGTCCAAGAGACTCTTATCTCCAATTAACCACCAGAAAACAGGAAGTAGTGCTGTGGCTCAAAGTGGTAGAGCGCTAGCCTTGAGCAAAAGAGTTAGGGACAGCTCCCAGTCCCTGAGTTCAAGACCCATGACTGACAACAAAAAAAAGGACGGCTGGGCATACAAACCAGTCCTTCTTCACACTCAAGTGTAAACTATGGAGGAGGCATTTCTAGTATCAGGGCAGAACCTGTCTGTCAAGGTGGGGGGTTGCTGGGCTCAGAATCACCACTAAACAGTACTCTGGGCAGTGCCCTTCCTCTGTACATTACAAATAAATTGAACTCCAGAGTTCCAGGTAGGGAACTAAAGCCCCATGTTGTGATGGTAAACAGAAATAGAAGAGGCCGCTTGCCTTAGAGTAGTTTTCAGTATTGGTCTTAAGGAAAGGAGTTTGAGAAAGTGGAGGTATGGTTCAACTGCAGAATGAGAGCCTTGAGCAAAAAAGCCAAGAGAGCAAGAGGCCCTGAGTTCAAGCTGCAGTACTGGCACAAGAAAGAAAAGAGGAAGGAAGGAAGGAAGGGAGGAAGGGAGGAAGGGAGGAAAGGAGGGAGGGAGGGAGGGAGGGAGGGAGCTAAGGAAGGCAGGCAGGTAGGCTCTGGAATCTATGTCATAGGAATCTCTTAAAACATGACTCATGCCTGAAATTTCAGTATTTATCAGGCTAAGACGGGAAGATTTCAAGTTTGAAGCCAATCTGACCTCAATATAACAAGAGCCCTTCCAAATCTGAACAGCCCTGGTTCTGACTTGGTCTCTGGGCCTTGCAGCCCTACTCCGTTCCCCTCCTGGTTGAAAGCTCCAGACACCTCCTTCCACAGTCTTCTCTGGAAGAAGAGAAGCAAATGTCCTCCCTTTTGGGGCTTGGCCCCAGAAACTTGAGCCATCACAACTTGTTTGCTACCAACTTCTCTTTGCTGACAGCAGGAAGTGGGCAGGGGGGGTGGGGAGAGGAAGCACGGATGCAAAGCGTGCACCAGGCTTTGTCCTGGATTTATTCGATAACATTCCATGTGCATAGGCATCCTCGGAGATTGCTTCCTTTCCTCCTCAGGTTCCGGTGAGAAGGAGTGGTTTCTCACCTGAAGGCATTTAGGTTCACTCAATTACAGTCAGCACAATCTGCTTGCTTGATACGCTAAGCAGATTTAAAGCTTAAACTGAATCCCCAAAATGGGGTTGAATACAGAGAGCATTTTGCCTTCCCTCCGTCCCAAATCTCACTCAGGTGACTCGTCCCTACTTTGGTCAATCTATGTGGGGAGGGGGTTCTAGGATCAAAGCCAGTGTAGGCTGGCAAATCCAATAGATGATTATCTCCAATTAACCAGAAAAAAAGAAAAGAAAAGAAAGCTGGAAGTAGAGGTGTAGCTCAAGAGGTGGTAGAGGGCTAGCCATGAGTAGAACAGCTGGTCCAGAGATCTAGGCTGGAGTTCACACCCAGTATGGGCAAAAAAAAAAAAAAGTACTTCAGGTGGTGGTGGGATATAGCAAGGTCTAGGCCAGCCTGGGCTACTCAGCCAGGCCTGTTCCGCTCCCCCACCCCCACTCCCACCCACACACAAATGATGGGATTTGAGTGTGGGCCAGAGGTTAGCTATTACAAACTGTGTGTATACTGATGGGAGGGAGGGAGGGAGAAGGGTATGATGCAAGAAGGCCAAGTGAGGAGGAGAGTGGCTGAGTAACAGCAAGAGGAGCTTGGGTTGGGAGCCTACCTGCAGGGGGCTACCTGCGAGTGAGAAAGCAGAGCTGAACAGTCAGACAAGTTAGATCTCTTTGTTGTTGGGGTTGAGAATCTACAGAGAGACCAGATGTGAAATCATCCCCTAAGACTGGGGGCAATGACCCCAGAAAGTCAGTTATCTGTGTGGTTCGCAGGTGTGATTCCAGACACTTGGGGCTTGAGGCAGGAAAGCTGTTAGACTCTAGAAGTTTAAGACCAGCCTAGGCAACAGAGTGAGATTTTGTCTAAGAAAGAAAAAAAGAAAAAGAAAGAAAAGAAAAGAGAAAAAAAAAAACAGGAAGGGAAGGGAGAGGGAGGGAGGCAGGAAGGGAAGGAGACGGAAAGTTATCCCTCCTCTATTTCTCAGTGTTTTATTTTTGCCGTGCTGGAACTAAACCTAGGGCCTCGTGCATACTAGGCGCATTCTACCACTGAGCTCCCCTCCCCCGGCGGCCCCCAGCTCAAAGCTATGGTTTTATAGGAGGTTTCTGGCCATAAATCTGGCAGATTTGAGGAGATTCTGCATCAATAATCCCCTGAGCATCTTGTTAATTTCACACAGCTGAGGCTGAACAGAAGAAGCTGTAGCCAGGATAGAGAAGTCTGAGGCAGCTGGGGCAGCGGCAACGACTCGAGGGTCTCCTCCCCTGTCCCCTAGACTTTCACCAATCAGGAAGCACAAGATTAGGCAGCACTGAGGATCAAAGAAACAATGAAAGCTCATAGGACGTCCTGCCAGCATGCAGGTGAAGGGAAGGCAAAACAAGCCAGGGACTGAATGAGGAGCACTAGAGGCTGGGAAAGGGTGGTGGTGGTGGTGGTGGTGGTGATGGCTTTAAAGCAGTGGGATCGATCCCAGGACACCAGCCATCAAATTAACATGATAAAGCATGAAACAGCACAGCCTCAGAGCAGTGTAGCTGATCACAACCTTGCAGGGCAAGTCGGGAAATGAAATGTCAAAAAATAAGGCTCTGAGACTGGGGGGGGGGGGGGGGGCAGGGGGGAGGAGGGAGGCGCTGGGGGATGGGGAGAAGAAACATAAAAATAACAGCTGAGCCCAAGACTGATGAAGCATCTCTTTCTACCCACTTACACACAGCCTGTGGGCGCATCCCAGAGCCTCATTGTAAAAAGCAGCAAACCACAGACACTTTAAGAGTCTCTGGGCACTTCCAGGGATAGCCTGTCATTTAGTATTCCTGTGAGGCGCAGGTGAATGAGGTCAGCAGCCTTCCAAACAGGCTTTCCCAACCAACTGGGGTACAACACCAAAAGGCTCCCTGTCCTGCAGATGCATGCCAACATAGAACATCCGCAAACCTAGGAACCCACCAACCCTGGCTGAAGATGCCCTGTCAGGCTCAGGCATTGTGTTGAGGAAAGGTGGGAATGCTTATCCATTATGAACACACAGCTCCAGCCTCCTGAGGCAGGTCCTCCGTGTGTCTGAGAGCTTTGGCTCCACCTCCGCATGCTTGGTTAACTGAAGTCATCAGTTGCAACATCCTGGCACCCATCTCTGGCACAGCTGCTCCTGCTAGCCTAGTGACTCACCAGGGCCCTTTCTACTCCCCTATTACTAACCCTTGAGCAGCTTCTGCTTCCCGCCAGCCCTGCTGGGCACTGGTGGCTCATGCCTGTAATCCTAGCTACTCAGGAGGCAGAGATCTGAGGATCATGGTTTGAAGCCAGCCCGAGCAAAAAAAGTCCCTGTGAGCCTCTTATTTCCAATTAACCACTCAAAAACTGGGAGTGGCGCTGTGGCTCAAGTGGTAGAGAGCTAGCCTTGAGAAAAAGCAGCTCAGGGATAGTGCCCATGCCCTGAGTTTAAGCCCCACAACTGAAAAAAGGAAAAAAAAAATCACAATAGTTAGGCAGAGAGGCAAGACAGGAGAGCTGGGAAGAATGGAGTAGCTGCAAATGTGACCAGTATGGCTTCCATGGGTCTGTTACCTAATGCCCAGGTCTCTCTATGTCCCCAGGCCACTTCTTCTGTGCTTTTATTCTAATCTGGTAGTCTTTTGGGATACAGTTTAGGCTAGCTTGAAATTTGAGATTCTCTGGCCTCAACCTCCTAAGTGCTAGGATTCCAGTTGTGTGTCACCATTCCTGGCCCTATTTGCTCCTTTTAGACAGCGAGTCTAAGCCAGACAACAGTGTGGTTCATGCTTATAATCCTAGCTACTCAGGAGGCTGAGATCTGAGGATTGTGGTATGAGGCCAATCCAGGCAAGAAAGTCTGTGAGATTTATGTTGCTGGAAGTGGCTGGGTGTCAGTGGCCTATAATCCTAGCTACTCAAGAGGCTAAGAACTGAGGATCAACGGTTTGAAGCCAACTCCAGACAGGGAAGTCTATGAGACCCTCATGTGCAATTATCCACCAAAGAAAGCTGGATGTAGAGGTATGGCTCAAGCAGTAGAGTGCTAGCCTTAGCAGAAAAGCTCAGGTACAGTGCCCAGGCCCTGAGTTCAAGTCCCAGAATCAGCACAAAAACAAAACAAAACAAAAAAACAAATCTTAGGGGGTGGGGAGGAGAGTTTAGTCCATTACATTTGTTATTTTACTTTGTCTTTTTCTCAACTAATTTTTTTCTTAAGTTTTTTTCCTTTAGATGTACTGATAAGTCATCTCTAACCCTACCACTTTTTTTCCTCTCCTAGTTTAGGAACAATAGTCTTTTACAGATTACCATACTA